CTGCTATTTTAGCCTGGCATACCCCCAGGTCCATGTCTTGATTGTTATCAAAGAGGCCATATATTTAAAGGGATTCTCCTGGGAAGATAAAAGTATAATTCAATTCAAATAGCTAAACACACTACCTGCTAAATATTCCTAATAAATACCTGCGCAGCTTCTTTCTTCTATATACAAGTCATAATAACTACACTATATGTTCCAACCTTTTTCTTTTAGAACATTTTATTTTCACTATTTTTTATTTTAAGAATCCTCTTAACGCTTGGAATTTTCTAGTTCGTAGAACTATTTGAAGCCCATCAAAATAAAGTCAACATTTTCAGCACGAAAAAAAAGAGAATGTTTTACAGGACTATGTGAAGAAAAAAAAAATACAGCGAAAGAAGGGAGTGCAAAAGAAAATGGAAGATTGAGGTGAAAGAATGAGGAAGTGAGAGAGAGAGAAGAAAGAGAGAGTGTGTGTATGAGAGAAACAAAAATAAAAGAGAGAGAGAGGGAGGGAGTGGATAAGAGATAGCAGGGAACAGATAAGGGAGGGAGAGATGTGAGCGGATAAGGGGGGGGGGGGGGGGGAAGAGATGGGAGCGGATAAGGGGGGGGGAGGGGATGGGAGCGGATAAGGGGGAGAGAGAGGGAGCGGATAAGGGAGAGCAGGAAGCAGATAATGGGTGGGGGAGTTGGAGATGGATGGGAGTGGATAAAGGGGAGAAAGTGAGAAGGGAGCGGATAAGGGAGAGGATGAGAGGGAGAGAGAAGGGAGAGGATGAGAGGGAGAGAGAGAGATGAGAGGGAGAGAGAGGATGAGAGGGAGAGAGAGAGAAGGGAGAGGGGATGAGAGGGAGAGAGAAGGGAGAGGATGAGAGGGAGAGAGAAGGGAGAGGATGAGAGGGATGAGAGAGAGGGAGAGGATGAGAGGGAGAGAGAAGGGAGAGGAGAGAGAGGAGAGGGAGAGAGGGGGAGAGGATGATAGAGAAGAAAGAAAGTAGATGAGAGGAGGAGAGAGTAGATGAGAGAGCTGTAGATAGGGGACAGGGAGGGGAGACACAGACAAAGTATAGCTATCATTATTTTTAGCCTTTAGCTACACCAATTTGACTCCATGGCTGTTTATGTTTCTAGCAGTAAGAAATATTAAAAATGTAAGTCATCTTAAAGGAGTAATGCACAGGGTTTATTATAGGCTCACATTACTGCAGGTGACAGAATTGCGAGCAAACACAGCACATTTCTGCATGCACCAGACCGCATGGTGCTGCGCGGTATTTAGGCTCAGGGCCTTCTATCCCTGTATTTCTGCAGGCAGGGCAGCTCACTGAAATGAATGGGCTTGTGCACATGCAGAATGCAGGTTGCAGTAATATGAAGGGAGGCTCAGACCTGGCAGAACCAACCTCCACATACCAATATTGTATATATAATATATCTATGGAGCTGAGCTCCCAGCAGAGCCTTGTCTGTAATGGTGAGGAAATGTTTTATTTCAGGGTCACTGTAAGTAACAGAGTCTTGTTGGGCTTCAAATTGTTTTTACTTTACCTAAATCTTAATTTAAAAAAAAAAGGGAAGGCTAAGTTGATCTTTTCCTTTAATAGCAATTGACACAGCAAAGCAGAATATGGCCATGCTTCGGCCTTGGAATTATTTTCATCTTCCTTGTTATTGCAGCAAGTCTGCTGTACTGGCAGCTTACCACAAGAGGGCGCAGAGGACACAGCAGTTATAGCAGAGAAGGAAGTATTGGGAATGACATCCTTGTAGCACCTAAACAAAGTCATCAGAAGAGTCATCACCGAGGAACTCCGGGACTTCATAGGCCACCCAGCATCATGAATATCATTGGACAGCTATAAACACAATATTGATCAGTGACTGTTAAACTATGTTAATGAAAGAGAAGGACCTAAAGGGGATCCCCAATGAGCAACATAGGCCTCCCAGGTCCCCCCTCAGCATCATGAACTGCCTTCATGCTGTAACTATGCAGGCCAAACTGCTAACATTTACCAGATCTAACGAAGGTCCACAAAGCCAACTCTCATGGAGCCGATGCTTCAAGAGTCCCTGTCTAAGCTCCGAGAGCAGTTTGGTTACCAGAACAAGAATGCACCCTTTGCATTCCAAAAGTACTTACACATCACTGAACTATAATGATGTCACTATTTGCTTGGAGTCTGAATGACTGGATAATAAATTCACTCTCCAGGCAAAAACCTAAATACGACAATGAAACAAATGTTTACCAGTTTTACCTGCCGAAAGGTTTGGCCAGTCTTGTGATTGATACATCTGCCACACTGCACTGGCAAACAGAAAGCCTGGGTGCTCCCCGATCCAGCTTAGCAGCACCTCTGTCACCTGTCTGCCATCAACCTGCTCCATCAGCAGCATTACCATCTACATCCAATGACCAACAAGGTGACCCAAGGAGAAGAAAAGCTAAATCAGGAAGAGTCTGGATCACAGGACTGGCTGAACAGAATTACAAATACGTCATCCGGTAAAACAGGAAACATGTATTTCCACGCTGTTATTCGCCTGAAATTCCAATTGAAAGCAGCCAATGAAACGGCCCCCTCCATCAGGCTCAGATGACATTGCTCTTCAAGGGACTGTTACAAAGTGTGCATCCCCCATACACCCTCCTTGTATCAAAGCTTCTGGCTGGTTTACATGACACGTCTACAGTGCCTAAGCAGGGAACCACAGTAAGCTTATAGTATGTATTCTGAAAGTAGAACCACTGAAATGACAGTATAATACTAAACAAAGACAAGTCCACGTCACTGTACAGCACCGAAATACGGCTAAACGTCTCCGTCTACAGCAAATACATAAACAGAAAATAGTACAGAAATGAATAAATAACAAAAACATATTTAAAAAGAACAAAACAGCTTAACACAGGTTTTGGATCCTTCCCTCAAGAAAGGCAGCCATTAGGAACTGTTAAAGTGAAGTCATCATGCAGCATATCCCCCTTGGGACCGGGCAATCAGATTGGCTTCCTCTGCTATGCAGAATGAAGTCTTTGGAGCTTTACCAGACCCTGTCACCTTGCCCATTCCGGTTATCCTGACTCTCTGATTCTTGTACCCGACACAGATAATAACTAATGGTGGATTGTGACATTTCTGAGTCCTTACGATTACAATTCAGCCCTGAACAGGGAGGTTTTCAAGCCCCTAACATGCGTTTGACGTCCCCGAATTGCGTTTGATGCTCTGTGTGTCTGTGAACCAATACTAAAAGTTTTTGGACTCTCAGATGGTTTGTTTGGGGCCCTCAGACTTTCTACAAGTGAATATTCCAGGAAAAGTAACAAGGACTGTTTAAAGCCGAATTCCAGGTATGGCAATTAATTCAGCTTGGACCAATGTAAGTATCCATGTTCCATACGTGTGGGATCCCCCTGGAAGTTGGAAATCCCTGTAGTAGGATCTCTGATAAAGTGACTGTTGCTAGCTGGATCCTGTGCTGAGCGTCTACCCTGCTGCTTACTGATCACAAGATGTCTCCTGCATGGGCACCATTCAAGGGACACTTGGCATTTTCTAAATGAATGCATTGGTGGAAAAGTGGGTTGTTGACGTTACAATTTCCACCTCGTCCAATCAGGTGAGCATGCGCATTGAGAAAATGCAAAAGTGTTCTCATTACGTGTGGGTCCCTAAGTTCACATGTATCAGCAGGATCTCTTGGGACAGAACCCAGAAGCTAGCTGGATCCTGTGCCAAGCGGCTACCTGTACAGGCACCAATCAAAGGAAACTGGCATTTTCTAATGGATGACGTCAAAATTTCCACCTCGTCCAATCAGGTGTAAGTGGAAAAATGCAAAGTTCCATATGTGGGATCCTCCTGGAAGTTGTGAATCCCTGTTCTAGCTGGATCCTGTGCCAAGCGGCTTACCCTGCTGTTTATTGATCACAGGATGTTGCCTGCACGGGCACCAATCAAAGGACACTTGCTTTTTCTAAATGGACGTCACAATTTCACCTCGTCCAATCAACCCAGAAAATGCTAAGTGTTCTCATTACGATCTCTATGTTCACAATGCATCAGAGCAGCCTCTTGGTACAGAAGCTAGTGGAGATCACTGTAGTAGTGGTGTAGTAATGTAGCCTACTATACGGATTTTCAGCTTCCATTGGGATCCCATGGGTATGGCACATAGATACCTACATTCATCCAAACTGGAACAATGTAACTATGTAAAGATGCTCATACCTGGAATTCGTCTTTAAAGCCCACCCTCCGACCCCCTTATTTGTTTTAATGGTTTTACCCCGATTTTCCTTTTCTGTGGCTGTCTCCTCAAAGTTCCAATACTTCTGGGTATGAAGAGAGCTTAGGATCTACTTCCACAGTGCAGTGCTCATATTAACAGCCAACCACTACGCCTAAGTACTAGTCATGTGACTAAAGAGGGTGACGTCACTAGACCCTATAACCTGTGTCACTGTACTTTCTGATGGTAGCTGCAACTGAGGACAGTTCCATGGGGGAAGGGCTGGGGAGGTGGGTATAAGGCGGTCGGGAGTGACCGTTAAACAAACCCTGCACACATTGGCCTGAATGGGCAAGGCAACAGGATCTCTTTACGATATACCAGTGATTTCATGGATAGTGAAACTCATCCTGGTTATCTGTCAAGCTCTGGATTTGGTCAAAAGCAGACAAACACAAAACATTACAGGGGTAAGCCTGAGGGCCACAGAAATAGATAAGCAAATCCCTTTTTAGTGTAATGATGCCCATCACATCAGTAGTGACCTTTTATCAACGCAAGGAAACTGCTGAGCTTGCGATTGTCCACGCAACACAAAAACCTCCCAGAATGCCTTGTAGCGAGTCAGCACACATGACAACGCCGTGATCCTGACATGTGGAAACATCTGGACAGTTTGCACTTCACTTCCTGATGATACATTCAGAGGGTTAAGACAACGCATGAATGGGGTCAGAGAACCGTCAAGGATTGTTCATTGCTGGGTCTCGTCACATCGCTCTCCAAATTAATCCATTCTTGCTGGGCTCCAAAAATTCCTCCACCAAAACCTGAATGACCTTCTTCAGCTCCTCTTCCAGGAATAGTTTGTCACTGAAAGTATAAATGCAAATATATTAAAGGGAATGTGTAGAGGTTTTATATTATCATCAGGACAGAAAAATGAAGATTTTTTGTACCTACAGTAAATCTATTTCTTGAAGCCCAGTTAGGGACAGAGAAACAGTTGGGTCATACAGCCAACAACAGGAGGTTGGGACACTGGCAAACAGAAAAATTTAATCTCTAGCCAGCATGCCTCAAGTTTGGTGGAAAAACACAGAGGGGTGGGATCTACCGTGTTTCCCTGAAAATAAGACACTGTCTTATATTTTTTTTTGGCTCAAAAAGACACACTAGGTCTTATTTTCGGGGTAGGTTTTATTTTTTTAATGTACAGGTGTGGACAGGGGGTGCAGAGGTGAGCTGCTGCAGGCAGTGGTGGATGGGGGTTACTATAGAGAGGGCCTGCTGATGACAGATGACAGTTGTGAGCTGCAGTCAGGAGTTGCAGAGGTGAACTGACAGGTGAGTTTCAAACAGGGTGCAGAGATGAGCCACAGAAAGGGTGCAGGGGTGAGTTACAGGGGATGCAGAAGTGAGCTTCGGGTCCTATCTTCCCACACAGTGCACTCACCACTCCACCTCTTCCTCACTGGCCGGCGATCACCCCTGGGGCATTGGCTTCCATGCATTAGGCTCCAGGATAAGATGCCCTGCCACACCCTTAAACACACTGCACCCTCAGATATCTGTTCCTTCCCTTGTCCCACAGTGAGTACAGAGGTAGGGGGGTTCTGTGGGAGCGGATGGTGAGTACAGAGGTAGGGAGGTTCTGTGGGAGCGGATGGTGAGTACAGAGGTAGGGAGGTTCTGTGGGAGCGGATGGTGAGTACAGAGGTAGGGGAGTTCTCTGGGAGCGGATAGTGAGTAAAGAGGTAGGGGGGTTCTGTGGGAGCGGATGGTGAGTACAGAGGTAGGGGGGTTCTGTGGGAGCAGATGGTGCTGTTACTTACAAGAGGGATTGTCACTTGGAAACACAAAAGCCACGCTTCTGTGTTTATAGGAGACAATAGATATTGGTGTACCCAGGGCCAGAAGTGGTGGAACAGCTGATCACAACTAGGTCTTATTTTTGGGGTAGGTCTTATTTTCGGGGAAACAGGGTATGTCCTTCAATGGGATCCAAAGAAGTGAACAGTATGGTATACCCAAACGTCTTACTTTCTTGCTTGGCCACGAAGGGACAAATGCAAACAGCTGGGACATTCAAAAGTAGTCCAACTGAGGGGTGGACAACAACCACTGATAGGTTCATGGGATCGGATTAGGAAGCCTCTGCAACTTATGACTACCTTAAGGATCAATGCCCAAATCTGAATCAGATGAGGTGAAGCCCCCAAGACAAGGGAAGCTGCCAATAACCAAGGGAAAGCCACAGAGGATCAACCTGATGCTGAAGACCAGCACAGAAGAAATGACAACTAAGGGAAATGACTCCAACCAAAGGAAATGACTCCACCCAAAGGAACATTGAGTCTGAATCAGGGAAAGGCCATGAACTAAAAACCCACAAAAACAGGTGGAACAACATAACTGCAAGACAAGGAACAAAAACAACCAAGACAAGGTCCAAAACGAAGTCCTTAGACAGCGACTCAAAGCTCCAGTGAGCTTGGAACACAGGATTCCCTGTAAAAATGTGATGCTGCTTGAAGCAACACAAGCATGACAGTGAGGGAAAAAAAAACAAAGGTGCTGCCAGACATGAGGGGTTAGCTCCTGGACAAAAAGGGGCATTCTGAACACCTAAATGCCAGGTGAGGGGTACCAAAGGACCCCTCATGATGTACAAAAAGCCCCGCACTTGTAGAAGTGGGGGCCAATCCTTATGCCGAAAGAGTTAGCTGACCCTTGGCTTTAAGCCTTACAAGCTCTGTGTGAAAGCAGTGGTCTTTCTGCAAAGGTCTGACACACCCCGCTGTTGAACAACTGCTAGAGCTCTTCACTCAGCAAAACTCCCTGGTGATGCACGTTTCCATAGTTAGTCTGGCCAAAAAAGACAAAAGTCCATCCAGTTCAACCATTAAAAAAAAAAAAAAAAAAAGTTATAATCCTACACCCACAGTTGATCCAGAAGAAGGCAAAAAACCCAGCAAAGTATGATCCAATTTGCTTCTGCAGGGAAAAAAATTCCTTCCTGATCCCCCGAGAGGCAATCGGATATTCCCTGGATCAACTTTACCTATAAATGTTATATCCAGTTATATTCTATGTATCCAAGAAAGAATCCAGGACTTTCCTACAGCAATCCACTGAGCTGGCCAGAACCAACTCTTGATTGAGTCTATTCCACATTTTCACAGCTCTCACTGTGAAGAAACCTTTCTGTGTTTGGAGATTAAATTTCTTTTCCTCCAGACATAAAGAGTGCCCCCTTGTCCTCTGTGATTACATCAGGGTGAAAAACTCTACACCGAGTTCACTATATGAACCACTTATGTATTATACATGGTGATCATATCCCCCCTTATGTATTATACATGGAGATCATATCCCCCCTTATGTATTATACATGGAGATCATATCCCCCCTTATGTATTATACATGGAGATCATATCCCCCCTTATGTATTATACATGGAGATCATATCCCCCCTTATGTATTATACATGGAGATCATATCCCCCCTTATGTATTATACATGGAAATCATATCCCCCCCTTATGTATTATACATGGAGATCATATCCCCCCTTATGTATTATACATGGTGATCATACCCCCCCCTTATGTATTATACATGTTGATCATATCCCCCCCTTTTATGTATTATACATGGTGATCATATCCCCCCTTATGTATTATACATGGTGATCATATCCCCCCTTATGTATTATACATGGTGATCATATCCCCCCTTATGTATTATACATGGTGATCATATCCCCCCTTAATCTCCTCTTCTCAGTATAGAATAAATTCAGTTCCTCTAATCTTTCCTCATAGCTGATCTCCTCCATGCCTCTTATCAGTTTGGTTGCCCTTCTCTGTACTTTCTCCAGTTCCCCAATGTTTTTTTTGTGAATTGGAGCCCAAAACTGAACTGCATATTCCAGATGAGGTCTTACTAATGATTTGTACCGGGGAATATGATATCTCTCTCTGGAGTCTATACCTCTTTAATACAAGAGAGGATTTTGCTCCCTTTAGAGCCCGCAGCTTGGTATTGCTGCCATTATTAAGCTTGTGATCTACCAGATCTCCCAGATCCTTCTCCACCATTGATTCCCCCAGTTGTACCCCCCCCCCCCCCCCCCAGTATGTATGATGCATGCATATTCTTAGCCCCCAAGTGCAGAACCTTACATTTATCAACATTAAATCTCATTTGCCACATAGTTGCCCAATTGTTTTTCCTCTATTGTCTTGAATTCCATAACTAGAATACATGCATGTCTTGGCAAAAAATAAAAAAACATGATCTAGCACAGGTCTCCAGTATATGCACACTTCCCTATGTTTTCTCTTTTTAAAAAAAACTGTACGCACAGAAAAATACCTGTTGATCTTTCATAAACCCTAAAGCTGACAATGCTGCCTCCACAGCACTGAAACCACAGGAGAGGTGAAACCGTATCTAGAACGGAAGGGGAGCGAGCACTAAGAACTATGGTGATGAGGACAGGGAGATGTTCTGTAGTCCAACAGGGAGGAACATGGGCAGGGTCAATAACAATAATTGGGATTTCAGTGCAATTGAGACCCTGTGTTGTCAGATCAAAACAAGAAGTTAGAAGTTCAATAGATTTCTATCAGGATCAACAGACATTCTGTAATTGCGGCATTTTTAAAAATACAAAACATGGGGGAAATTTGCATGCAATTTTTTTTTTCCTTCTAGATTTTGCCGGACACAAACCTTAAGGACACACATTTCTTAAGATTACAGAAAGCAATACAGGAAAACAAAAGTCAACGTAGAAGACACAGACATTGATGGAAACTCACCCCTGTCCGGGGCTACCACACATCTCGGCGTAGTACTTGATCTTTGGTTCTGTGCCACTTCTTCTCAGGGTGGCCACACAGCCGTTCTGAAATGTGAAGGTGATCATCTGACTGCTCTTACTCACTGGAAGCAACTGTAAAAGAGGAGGAAAGGTGAGAACAACATGGACACCAGAAGACTGTCATTTAGTCAGGTCACTGACATACAGGGGTTTATTTACTATAGCTGGTTCACCCAGAATTTCGTTCGCCTGTGCATGGTAGCCAATCAGTTTCTACCCTCGGCTTGTTCAGTTAAGCTTTAGCAATAAAACCTGGAAGCTGATTGGTTTCCATTCAAAAGTGTACGTAATTCTGAGTGAACCAGCTTTAATAAATAAATCCCACAGTCAGTGGTGTATTTAGGTTTAGTGCTGCCTTAGGCAACACAAAGACCGGACGTCCCCCACAACCCCCACCCCCCCCCGGCAGAGAGAGAGCCTCACACCGACCTACATCAGACAACCCCCCCCCCCCCCCCCCCCCCCCCCCCCTGCAGAGAGAGCCTGATGGCGACCAAAAACACCCCTGCCCCATTCCACCCCCCCCACCCCGAGAGAACCTTCCATTAACCCCCCCCCCCCATCGGGGACAGAGGAAAAACACGCACCTTCACAGCTCTGGACATCCCCGGGAACAACAGTTGGGCTCTACATGCATCATCAAGCAGCCCGAAGCCTCTCTCAGATCCTACCTGGTCCCCATGATGTATATATCCCTTCTTCCCTAAATAATGCTGCCCTAGGCAAATGCCTTGTTTAAAAAAGAAAAAAAAAGTGAAATAAAGAGTATCAAAATCCAAAAATATGAAATTAAATGCAAATAAAATATCAAACTCATTTTATCAAACAAATGAATTATCCAGTTTCATAATGAAAAAAATATATATATATATTCTAAAAAATCAATATCAAACATCATAAAATGTCCAATAATAGTGTCCTTAAGTGTAAAAAAATATATACGTGAAAAAAAAAGCATCAAATTCCAATGTGCAAATTTATAGAGAAAAAAAAAAAAGTGTTATCTTAAACTTCAGTGCTCCAAACTGTTAATTCTTGAAATAAACCCAAACACTGTGAAAAATCCACCACCAGATGAATTAAATAAACTCGCCAGAGCAACATGCTGGTCAAATTATAAACCAGCAAACACGCTCTCGCTCTGTGAGCAACGATCTGCAGACTGATGGCCGGCAATTGGGAGGCTATTCAATGAACATTAATATCTTCTTGACATCAAACACACTCATAAAGGAAGAGAGCGGGAACTAATAGTGTACAATCGTAGGACACAATTTTATTCATAAAAACATTCCATAAATTACTCTCACATTTTGTAGTGTCAAAAGCCGACACTAGCTTGAACAGCGTATACAGCACAAATTAAAAAAAGCCGGCTTCGGTGTCAGCTGACACCTACAACTCACTGGGCGTGGTGACGACGTCACTCCAAGGCTCCACCCATCAATCTGCAGACTGTTGCTCCCAGAGCGAGACCGTGTGTGCTGGTTTATAATTTGACCAGCATGTTGCTCTGGTGAGTTTAATTCATCTGGTGATGGATTTTCAGTGTTTTGGGTTTATTTCAAGAAGTTTGGAGCAAGGAAGTTTAAGAGAACACTTTTTTTTCTTTCTCTATCAATTTGCACATTGGAATTTGATTGATGCAAAAAGTTTTTTTTTCACACTTAAGGACACTATTATTGGACATTTTTCAATGTTTGATATTGATTTTTTAGAATAGATTTTTTTTTCTTTATGAAACTAGAGGATTCATTTGTTTGATAAAATGAGTTTATGATATATTATTTGCATTTAAGATCATATTTGTGGATTTGGATACACTTTTTTCTTCTTTTTTAACAATATATATTTTTTTTTTCATGTTTTGATGATGTTTTTTTTTGTGAACTATCTGGTTAGAGCACTACCTTTTGTTTATTTTTTGTCACTTTTTACCTTGTTTGAGGGGGAGGTTTTAGCTGCTCTTTTGTTTATAGATTTAGTACATTTTTTTTTGGTTAATTAGGTGTTTTCTAGTGGTGCTATCCATACCCTAAACTAAATGCCTTGCTTGCCTTGAGGTAAATACACCCGTGGCCACAGTAACATCTCATCTCATTCATTACAAATTCCCATTATTTCTGCACCTACTTAATGTAATACAAATGGTGTGGTGCATTGCCCAAACAATATAAATAACTATTAAAGCTGATATCCACCTTTACTGTCACTTTACCTAGTTTGGGCCAAGAGCAGATTCTAGGGACTAGCTGTGATATATTGTTATTATCAGTCCTTTGACAGAAAAAAAAACTGTAAGAGATGAAGCTGGCCCAATGAGAACAACATGACTGCTGGAGCGAGGATGCTGGAACATATGGTACAAATAGTCCTCCATGCTGAAGCGAACAATAAACACTGGAAATGACAGAGGAAGTAACACTTTACAGCTAACAGGAAGAAACTGCAAATGAAAAAATGGGGAAAAATAAAGGAAAAAACCAAATACAAGAGGTGGTGCTGAAGCTATAGCCACTATTAAAAAACCTTCAACCTCTTTCTGCCGACTTCCCACTGGACCTTTAAGAAATCGTGATGCCGGAGGCTTTACATGTGCTTCCTGATTAATACGACCGGCTGCCACAGTGATCAGTGATCGGTATCCTGTCCTATGTGCGCCAGGTAATCAGCTAAGACTGGGAGCTGCCGGTGACATGATTGTTGCTGGGAGTGCACTCTCGGTACAAAAAGAATGATGCATATATGTGGTCTGGCTATTGGCTGGAAGGAAGGGAAAAAGGTCACAAGCTCCCATATGAAATAAAGAACATGAATTCCTGGGGGCCCCAACAGATAAAAAGAGCAGGGGGGGGGGGGGGGGGAGCATGGAAAAGGTGAGTGTTAGCAAGGGAGAGAGGGGAGGATAAGAGAACCTGTCACTTTGCTTTGAATGGGCAAAGTGAGAAGTTGCTAATAACTCTCTATAAGACAAACAAGCATTTAACCCCTTGCAGTGCAGTGATGGGGGGGGGGGGGGGGTACTGCGTGGGTACATTTAAATGCAGCATATAGTTGGGCTTTAACAAGTCATTGCATAGTGAACAAGGTGACAATGGCTTACACTTTTCTTGGTCTGCTGGCTGCTGTCATAGCCTGTGGTCACATCCCGGACGTGGAGAATGCCGTACGTTCCACAGGACTGCGGATATCTCTTTGGACCAGTATAATTTCTCAGCCGATCAAATATCCTCTTATTAGTGGCAGGGTCGTAGCATAGGAAATAGGACGTTTTTGAGATGTGATAACCATATCTGGAAATTAAAAAAATGTAACATTGTTGAAAGACTAAATACAATAAAAACGTCCCACAGACCCACCACCTGTCCTAAGACAGTCAAGTATATACCAGGAGGCTCCAAACTACAGCCTGCGGGTCACATACGAATTTAGCCAGCTGATGTGCACAATCTCTGATTATCCTCCCTTTTCATCCCCAACAATAGTAGGGGGGCACAATGATACAATGTATGTTGGCACTGAAGAAAAGATGGGGGGCTCTGATATGGACCATAATGTAAGGAGGGGCTCTGCTGGGAACCCTGATGTAAAGGGGAGCTCTGATGGAAAACATTGATACAGTAAGGGGGGGGGGGGGGGGGGGGGGACTCGATCTGATGTAAGAGACCCTTATGTAAGGGGAACTCGAATGGAGACCCAGATGTAAGGGTTTACCATCTCCTATTCCTATTCTATCCACCTTTAGGCCATCCCTGAAAACCCCATCTCTGTAGAGGAGCTTATCTTGCTTCTAAATAATATACCTTTTACATCAACTCATCCCCAAGTTTATTACCTTTTGCATCACCTGACCCTCCCTTTTAGATTGTAAGCTCTAATGAGCAGATCCCACTGATTCCTCCTGCATTGAATTGTATTCTAACTGTACTGTACTGTCTGCCCTAATTGTGTAAAACGCTGAGCAAAAACCTGGCGCTATATAATCCTGTATTAGAATGATAATAATGAGTAAGATGTAATATTCAAATTACTTTTTCTCAACCTTTATTATTGGCTGAACTTTGGCTTGAATATCTTTGTTGTCCTGAATCATATCATTCATTTAAATTTTATGCATTCATGAAACTCATTTTTTCTGACCTGGTTTTATGTAAAAAACAGAACTCACATCTCATATATTCGGATAAGCTGTTGATTTAAACTCATATTGATACTGTCTAGATAAGCGGCCATTTCTGCAACAACCACCGCCGCACTGACGCCATCTTTGTCCAGCACAGCTGTCCCGCACATATAGCCTGGGAAAAACAAAACAGGTAAATTACCCAAAGCAATGCTTTACAGGTGAAACAAAAAATTAGAATATTGTGCAAAAGTTCATTTATTTCAGGAATGCAACTTAAAAGGTGAAAACTAATATATGAGAGATAGGCTCATTACATGCAAAGCAAGATAGTTCAAGCCGTGATTTGTCATAATTGTGATGATTATGGCTTACAGCTCATGAAAACCCCAAATCCACAATCTCAGAAAATGAGAATATTGTGAAAAGGTGCAATATTCTCGGCTCAAAGTGTCCCCACTCTAATCAGCTAATAAAGCCATAACACCTGCAAAGGGTTCCTGAGACTTTAAATGGTCTCTCAGTCTGGTTCAGTAGGAATCACAATTATGGGAAAGACTTCAGACCTGACAGTTGTGCAGAAAACCATCATTGACACCCTCCATAAGGAGGGAAAGCCTCAAAAGGTAATTGCAAAAGAAGTTGGATGTTCCCAAAGTGCTGTATCAAAGCACATTAATAGAAAGTTATGTGGAAGGGAAAAGTGTGGAAGAAAAAGGTGCACAAGCAGCAGGGATGACCACAGCCTGGAGAGGATTGTCAGGAAAAGGCCATTCAAAAGTGTTGGGGACTTTCACAAGGAGTGGACTGAGGCTGGAGTCAGTGCATCAAGAGCCACCACACACAGACGGATCCTGGACATGGGCTTCAAATGTTGTATTCCTCTTGTCAAGCCGCTCCTGAACAACAAACAACGTCAAAAGCGTCTTATCTGGGCTAAAGAAAAACAGACCTGGTCTGTTGCTCAGTGGTCCAAAGTCCTCTTTTCTGATGAGAGCAACTTTTGCATCTCATTTGGAAACCAAGGACCCAGAGTATGGAGGAAGAATGGAAAGGCCCAAGGACCCAGAGTATGGAGGAAGAATGGAGAGGCCCAAGGACCCGAGTATGGAGGAAGAATGGAGAGGCCCAAGGACCCCGAGTATGGAGGAAGAATGGAGAGGCCCAAGGACCCCGAGTATGGAGGAAGAATGGAGAGGCCCAAGGACCCTGAGTATGGAGGAAGAATGGAGAGGCCCAAGGACCCCGAGTATGGAGGAAGAATGGAGAGGCACAAGGACCCCAAGTATGGAGGAAGAATGGAGAGGCACACACTGCAAGATGCTTGAAGTCCAGTGTGAAGTTTCCACAGTCTGTGTTGATTTGGGGAGCCATGTCATCTGCTGGTGTTGGTCCACTGTGCTTCATTAAGTCCAGGGTCAACGCAGCCGTCTACCAGGAGATTTTGGAGCACTTCATGCTTCCTTCCACAGACGAGCTTTATGGGGATGCTGACTTCATTTTCCAGCAGGATTTGGCACCTGCCCACACTGCCAAAAGCACCAAAACCTGGTTCAATGACCGTGGGATTACTGTGCTTGATTGGCCAGCAAACTTGCCTGACCTGAACCCCATAGAGAATCTATGGGGCATTGCCAAGAGAAAGATGAGAGACATGAGACCGAACAATGCAGAAGAGCTGAAGGCCGCTATTGAAGCATCCTAGTCTTCCATAACACCTCAGCAGTGCCACAGGCTGATAGCTTCCATGCCACGCTGCACTGAGGCAGTAATTGCTGCAAAAGGGGCCCAAACCAAGTACTGAGTACATATGCATGCTTCTACTTTTTAGAGGTCCGATATTGTTCTATGTACAATCCTTGTTTTATTGATTGCATGTAATATTCTAATTTTCTGAGATTGTGGATTTGGGGTTTTCATGAGCTGTAAGCCATAATCATCACAATGATGACAAATCACGGCTTGAACTATCTTGCTTTGCATGTAATGAGTCTCTCATATATTAGTTTCACCTTTTAAGTTGCATTACTGAAATAAATGAACTTTTGCACGATATTCTAAGTTTTCGAGTTTCACCTGTATATGTCACAGGGCAGCAGAGGTAAGGAAGGATATAATAAAATAACAGTGTACAAGACAGATATTAAAGAAAAGAAAATTAGAGGATATGGTGGACCAGGGCCTTAAGGGAAACAATCCCCAACCAGACATATCCAAAATTAACAGGGCTCCATTTATTACATGGACAGGATGTGACATTAAAATAAGGTCAGTAATGAAGACTTACCTATCGATTCCTCAAATGCAAACAAGACGGTTTTCCCTTTATCCAAGAGATCCTTCACTCGGTTTCCGATCCATTTAAACCCCGGCAGAGTGTCCTGTAAGAGGAAAGTCAGGGCTTAAAGCTGAAGTTTAATTCACTTATACTTTGGGAATACTATAGAGCTGGGGTCTACAAACTTTCTAAACCAAGTGCCAGTTTACGGTCTTTCAGTCTTCAGTGGGGGAGAGACTGTGGCCAGTGAGAGTAGAAAATATCCTGGAATCAGTAAGAGTAAACAATTCCCCATCTTTTGTATTAAAGGAATAATAGTGCCCCATTGTTGGTGTCAGTGGGAGGAATAATGCCCCATCATTGGTGTCAGTGGCACAAATTATGCCCCATTGTTGCCAGTAGAAGGATTTGTGCCCCATTATTTGTGTTATTGGAAGGAATAGTGCCCTATTGCTGGTGTCAGTGGGATGAATATGCCTCATTGTTGATGTCAGTGGGAGGAATAGTGCTCTGAGGGTCAGATAAAGGCAAGCAAAGGGCCGCATCCAGCCTCAGGCTTTAGTGTAGACACCACTGCTAAAGATTGTCAGAATGACAGTTCTGCTGACATCACATCCAAGATGGCGACACCCAGCAGCAGTCAAGATTTTTGAATGTTCACACAAGGGAGGATTTTACAGGTAAATAACATGCATAAACATTTGTTAAATGCACATAAAATCTCATGAGAAGAATGTTGCTGAAATGAATTGTCTGAAGAAGGGTCTCTTTTATTCCCCCATCTCACCTCATAGTGAAAACCTTCATGTGTGGCGATGGCTTGCAGGATGTTGGAAGAGACGGTGGTGGCCAGCATGTAAACATCCCCCACCTCACATCTCCTTTCTGATTTCTGCCAGCAGAAGAACATCCACCAGCCAAGTAGAGCCGCCAGCTCATTTCCTGTGAACACCTTCCACTGGCCTCTGGAAGACAAAAGGAGGTTTATCTTTTTAGGGAATCCCTGGTGACAGAAATATAGGAGACCCCACTAATGTTTTGTATTAAAAGATGTACGTTTCCAGGCTGTCATTTTCATTCTGCGATTTCACTACTACTTATTATTACTGTTTGTGAATTTCTGGGACCAGAAGTGAGGCGAAATCTCTCTCCATCAAGGTCATGGGTAGCAATAAATGTTTGGCACAGGCATTTATTTTTATCCAAAACTACAAAAAAAAAAAAAAATCTTTAGGAGGATTCAGGCTTTAAAATGAGCAAGGGCAGCTTCCATCGTTTAGTCTTGACAGGTTCTGTTATTATAACAAATACACTATATTGCCAAACGTATTGGTCGGCCTGCCTTTACACGCACATGAACTTCTTCTGGGAAGGCCGTCCACAAGGTTTAGGAGGGTGTCTATGGGAAGGTTGGACCATTCTTCCAGAAGCACATTTGTGAGGTCAGGCACTGATGTCGAGGGAGGAGGCCTGGATCACAGTCTCCGCTCTAATTCATCCCAAAAGGTGTTCTATGGGGTTGAGGTCAGGACTCTGTGCAGGCCAGTCAAGTTCCTCCACCCCAAACTCAATCATCCATGTCTTCATGGACCTTGCTTTGTGCACTGGTGGGCAGTCATGTTGGAACAGGAAGGGGCCATCCCCAAACTCTTCCCACAAAGTTGGGAGCATGAAATTGTCCAAAATGTCTTGGTATGCTGACTCCTTAAGAGTTCCCTTCACTGGGACTAAGGAGCCAAGCCCAACCGCCGAAAAAACAACCCCCACCGGAATCCCCCTCCACCAAACTTTACACAATGCAGTCAGGAAAGTACTGTTCTCCTTTATCTATTGACTCGGCAGACAGTTGGCGACTTCTGCGCACTGTGCTCTTCAGCATGCGCTGACCCCGCTCTGTCATGTGACGTGGCCTAACACTTTGTGGCTGAGTGGTTGTTGTTCCCAGTTGCTTCCACTTTGTTACAATCCCACTAACAGTTGAGCGCAGAATATTTTAGTAGTAAGGAAATGTCACGGATGGACTTATTGCACAGGTGACAACCTATCACAGGACCACGCTTGGAGTTACTGAGCTCCTGAGAGCGACCCATTCTTTCACAAATGTTTGTAGAAGCAGTCTGCATGCCTATGTTATGATTTTATACACCTGTAGCCATGGAGGGGATTGGAACACCTGAATCTAATGGTTTGGAGGGGAGCCCAATATTTTTGGCAATATAGTGTATATGAACCAGATCCATTGAAACAATGGAATGCCAAGTAACTAGACATATGTGGCTAGTTTCGTTTCATTCTGTATCGAAAATCAGACAAATTTTTCGTTATTCAGAAATTCAGATGTATCCAAGTTTCCGAATTACAATAGTAACAAATCCGAAAATAACGAAACAAAATTTGAATCTGAATCAAATTTGAATTGAATGCGAAAATGAAAAGAAAAAAAAAAAAAAAGGACATAAGAGAATAGCATAGAATAGAAAAAATAGATTAGAATTGAAATTAATATAACACTGTTCAACAAATTTTTATTTTTTGCCAGTTTTGGAAACAAAAGGATCCATTTCTTAATGAATTTGACATTCTGAGTTCAAATATAACAATGAAATTTGTCAATTGGCTCTAGTTTTTCTGTAAACGGAAAGTTTTCTACTATAGGCGTAATGACTACATAATGCACAATAATTATATAGATAGATGTCTTTCCACAAATATAAAGCAAGTGATATTGACTACATAACAAAGCCTAAATGGCATAATATATTGCATAGGATTACCAAGAAAAATTATAGCCATAAGCTAAGTTGAATCATTTTAATACTTAGGATTCTCACTAGTTTTGTCTTCAGTTTGTGTCAGTTTTGCTTCTCTTGGCTTTTCTCTTGTATTCGAGGAAAGGGCTATCTCTTACAACTGCACGTGACTACACGCTTCAGGTTCTTCCTCACTTGACTCAACCACGAAGGATTCTGGTGCTTTAGGAATTGGTAGCCCCTCTCCATGAGGAACTGGACGTATTTGCCGATGGAATATTTGGATAGTGCACAGATAACTTTTTCTTCTTATTTAGCCCTTTTACAATTGGAGGCACCATACAAAAGTAACAATTACTAACATGATCTGTTGGCTCTCTCCAAATCATTGGCACAGCGAAAGGCATAGATGCCTTTTTTCCATTCAACCATTGCTCCAGTGCCGTCCCACAAGAATTGCAGCATATATGTGGTGCCCAGCTCTTGTCCTGGTCTCCTATCTTGCAGCCAAAATACAAGTTGTAGGCTTTCTTAATCATTCCTGTTATCCTCCTTTTTTGTGAGATAAAAGTTATTTCACCGCAGATACAGCAGAAATTATCTGCTTTATTCACACAAGTTCGAGGCATTACTGAGTAGCCTATATAAGCATAAAACGAAATGTAAAGACGCTGTCGAACTACAATCAGCTACAGATACTGCAGCTTTTATGCAGTGAAGTGATGCAATTAAAGGCTAATATTGCATCATCTCAGTATACATGCAATTTTCTATTGGTCACCAGTATCAATTGCGCAATATGCAGCTGAAGTTGCATCATAATTTTGAATGGCTTACGTCATTAGATGGGTGAATATATCATGGAAACTAGAGCCAATCAACATTTTTTAGGGTCATTTTCGTTTTCAGCACCCCAAAATTACGTAAGATTAGCTAATTTTATGCCCAAAACTTTTTACCTGTTGAACAGTGTAATTGAAATGAATAGAATAACAATAGAATAGAATACAAAATAAAAACTGAATAGATTACAATAGAATAAATAGAACAAAAACCCCAATAGAATAGAATGAACTAGAAAGAATCTGTCTGCCAAATTCAAATTTCAAATAGAATAAAGAATACTTCTGGCAATATAGTATAATGTACAAAGTGGTCTAAAGAAGGAAGGGCTGCAGTTTTTCTCTTCTGGCTGTACTAAGTTCCCCCCAGAATGTACTGCTGGCCCTTGTGTGAGATCACCCAATCAGCAGACAGCTTTCAGTTAAAGCGGAAGTAAACCCTCCAATCCTTTTCAGCCAAGGAAGCTGACATCTTAGCCACTGTTTGATCTACAACTACCACGGTGCTGCACATGTGATCAGTTATGACACCAGCCATCTGATGGTTTAACACAGGGGTAGGCAACATGAGAACAGGACTACAAGTTGCATCATGCCTCTGCAAGTCATAGCTGTAACTGTCAGTTTTGTAATCTTTGCAATGCCTCATGGGAAATGTAGTTCCACAACAGCTAGAGAGCTACAGGTTGCCTACCCCTGGTTTAACAAGTTGAGAACACAAGAAAAGGTAACAGTTGGCATCCATGGCATGCCGGGAATATAATGTTTTTTTGAAACCATTAAATCGAAGGGTTTAGTTCTGCTTTATGGGATGACTACAGCACATTATAAGTTGGTTGATGCTGAAGTGATATTTAAAACTCGTGGCTAAATATATAGTTGTTTCAGGATCTAAAGATCATTTCTAAAAATAAGGAATGCAGAGCTCAGTTTTCCTGCTGGTATCTATGTCACTAGGGAACACCGATGCACCCTTCTGCTGCTCCTATTGGCTCGCACACTCCCCTGCTTTCCCATCCACTCAAGTAGATGTAAGCCCTGCACTCTTCATAGTTCCCTGCACATTCGATCCCAACTACAGCAGCAGTAGATCAAGACTGCTGCAGGGTACACAGTAAAAATAATTCAATATTACACCTAAAAAGACAACCCACCTCCCACTGATATTCATGTCTCCAGAGATCTCCTACTGATACTCCTCTTGTCCCATCTACCAACAAGATATACAGGGTCAGAGCCCTAGAGAAAGCAGTGACATGGCCCTCCATTGTCATGTGACAGTGCCTTGGGCCTAGCATTTGTCAGGTCCAATCCCAGCCCCGTGCAAGTCACTTGCTCCCCCATACCCAGAGTAACAGATCTTTTCACTGGATAGAAATGGAGAAAGCACCAGTGGGGAAGTGCTGGATGCTGGAGATGCGACTCTACCATTAATCTCATGGGCAGAATGAAATGTCAGTGCAGAGGAACCCTAGCAAGGTGTGTTTCCACTGTTAAGTAATAAAGGTAGCAAATCAGTGTTTTCTATGTGTCTTTGCAGTGACTGGCATTGAGCAAGTGCAGGAAAACATCAGTCACTGCAGAATGGACCCTTAACCTCCCTAGCGGTCTGATTATGTCCATATTTCTGTACTCAAACTGGTACATTTTTTTGCATGGAAATATGTATTTTTTTTTATTGTAGGCCTGTAATTTTTAGGAATAACTCACTGAAATCTGTCCGACAAGAGTCTAGTAGACATCCCGGGTATGATAACATTTGAAACACAAAATCATAAATTATAATTTAATAAATAATCATAAAAATAATAATATAATAATAATAAATTGAATTCAATAATATAATCAAACCAAAAACACTGAAATTTGAAATATAGCGCCAAGTTCGCACATTGCTGAGCTCAGTCGCAGAATCGTTTTCAGTGTCTGATGAGGAATTTCCCCCACGAATCATTATCACTCAATTCTGCAAGTGGTTCTGATTTACTATCGCTGTTCTCTAGCCGGTCTAAAAAACCGCTTTTGACCTAAAGGGACGCTTTCTGGACGCCGTGGACGTTTCTCAGTTTCCAGGCAGAAAGAACAGTAAAAATGCAGGCAGGGCGCAGGACAAAGCACTCGGGACAAAATGTATGTGAAATGGTTTGATACGGTAATGGAATACTATGTGATTTTAGTGTATTTAGTGAATGTCACTTTTTGTCATTTTCAAATTTCCCCGCCAGTTCCGTCCCCGTACGTCCCGACGTCGCAGGGAACGGAACCCGGAAGACAGATGCCGGCATCGGCCGGAGGACATTGCCGGGGACACTGCAGGAGGGACATCGCGGGAGCACAGGACAAGGTAAGTACAGAAGAGATCCCGGAGCAATGCTGCATGGTAAGCCCGAGTGTAGCTCGGGGTTACCGCTTGTGGTACTGAAACTTTACCCCGAGCTACACTCAGGAATACTGCCAGGGAGGTTAATCAGCTAAATACATTGCAGGTGCATCAAAACAAAAAGGTGTGCAAAGTCTTATGGTTCATGTTCCTTAGCAAATGGTATAAAAGCCTTTTCCCTGCCAGCATGCTGCAGATTAGGATCCTTGTGCTCTGCTTGGAAGCAGTGGTCTTTCCGCAGAGGTCCAACACACCCCCTGTGGAGACAGATCAAGACTTCTACAACCGGCAGGCTGCATGAGCTTTGCAAATTGCAGAACTGTAAGTCTGACTCAGCAGGGGATGTGCCAGGTCCAAGTTTCCTTTTTTGCAGCATGCTGGTAGGGGCAGGCTTTACTACTCAGGCTGTTGCTGCTTTGTTTAAAAAAAAAAAACAAAAAACTGTGAATCAGATTTGTTTTAAATTACAGCTTTTGTTTTGATGCTTTAAAGTAAATATGAATTACTGCAGATGAAAATGTTACATTTACAATTCCAGTCAGCAGATGGCGCTCTAAGATTCATTTTAGGTTTCCAAGGTTGTCCCTTGCTGTTTTACTGAAAAAAAGAGACAGTATAAAGAGCTGAAAAGCTCAAGCTGAAATTTATACACACAAATAAATCCTGCCCTCGCTGCCTTTTCAGATGGTTGTATGAAGTTGTAGTTCGAGATAATAAATCTTAAAGCAAGCAGCTTCTATGGTAGTCTCTCTTTAGAAAACTCACAATGCTCTGTGAAGCCAGTGTCAGACGTGCACACATTACATTAGATGTTTATTTGAAACTATGTTAAGATTCTTTTTCCATTCCCTGATGTGTATAAAAGGAGAGCACTTACGAGTCTTGTAGTTCAGCCACAGCCAGCCTATCAGCATCGGGGTCCGTAGCCAGCACCACCCGGGCCCTTTCCTTCTCCGCCAACCTGAGAGAAAGCTCTGGGGTGAGGGAGAGTTACATCGATTAATGACATTTCCTTTGTGGCCTATGTGTGATATATGCTCACAGTACTATACTATCTCTATGACTACAAATATGGGATACGTAGGATTATACAGGTATGTATACTGGTGCAGTAGGCTACATTCACACTGGTGATTAAGGCGAATTGTCACATTGCTGCCGCGGCTCTCAAGGGCTAGGTGCAGCTGCTAGTACAAAAGGGATAACAGGCACATGGTGTGGCAGTCCATGTATGTTTGATGCGTTCCAAATGGGCAGGGGTGAAGGTAGTCCAGTAGGCACTAAGGACAAGCTGTGTAGGAGCGAAGCATAACTCTGCAGAAGGGAAACAAAGAAACACAGCCTGATGAAAGAGCGCGCCTGGACTCATCTCGTCCTGCACATGCTCAGAACCGCGTCGCATTTTCATGACGTCAGACGCCACATGTGCTGATCCTGGACATCTTGGAGACTCTGCCAGGCTCCAGCATCCATGCTGCATATAAACAGAATCATCTGCTGGGACACCTTGGAGATTCCACCAGGCTTACCATCCATGTTGCACATGCACAGCACCACCTGCTGATGGATTCAATCGATCTCCTCTCTGGATCAGACACACACAACATCTGGCTACAGACGTCTCACCCTCTTACCCATGAGCCTGTTTTTTTATTGTAAGATGTGAGTTACTGCTTATCTTTCTATTAAATACCTTCACAGTACACACTTAGAGGCACTGTGTTTCTTTATTTCCCTAGGTTCAGCTGCTAGCCCTGTCCACTATAATGGCAGGTCAATGGCAGGTATACTGCAGCTATCTGAGGCTCTCTGCTAAGCCAGCGATTACCTGTGGTAAGTGCGTCCAGCAGTGATCACTACGGGTAAACGCTGGCTGTGCGATCAGCCATGAATATCTGCAGCTGCCGCCAACCTGCCATTATCATTTATTATTATTATTATTTCAGGTACTTATATAGCGCCGTCAATTTACACAGCACTTTACATATATATTGTACATTCACATCAGTCCCTAACCCTCAAGGGGCGTACAATCTAAGGTCCCTAACTCACATTCATACATACATATATACTAGGGACAATTTAGACAGGAGCCAATTAACCTACCAGCATGTCTTTGGAGTGTGGGAAGAAACCAGAGTACCTGGAGGAAACCCACGCAGGCACAGGGAGAACATGCAAACTCTGGGCAGGAGGTGCCGTGGCTGGGAATTGAACCAATGACCCTAGTACTGCCAGGCGGAAGCGCTAACCATTTGGTCACTGTGCTGCCCATTATAGTGAATGGGGCCGGATGCTGCAGCTATCCCCTGAGGAATCTCTGATTCCTGCCACTACAATTCACACCAACCCCAAATCACCAGTGTGATATGAATGAGTGACCTTAGGTCACTATTCTTATCAGTCATTTCCTCTGTTGCATTGTTAACCTTCCCAGGAGCGTGACCTGCATCATGTAACGTCCACGTTTCCCCCACTTAGGTCTAAAGCCATCCACAACTCAGCCCCCAGCTACATCACTAACCTAGTCTCAAAATTCCAATCACATTGTTCTCTTCCTTCCACCTAAGACCTCCTGCTCTCTAGCTCCTTTGTCACCTCTTATTCTTGGCTTCGGGACTTCTCCAGAGCTGCTCCCAGCCTCTGGAACTCCCTTCCCCAATGTGTCCTACTATCTCCTACCCTGTCCACTTTTAGACAATCCCTAAAAACCATCTCTTCAGAGAGGCCTATCCTGCCCCCTCCTAGCAACTGTACATTTGTTTTCCTCCATCAGCCCATCCCCCACAGTTATTACCTTTTGTATCAACTGACCTTCCCGATTAGATTGTAAGCTCTACCGAGCAGGGCCCTCTGATCCCTCTTGTATTAATTTGTATTGTAACTGTACTGTCATCCTTTATATTGTAAAGTGCTGAGCAAACTGTTGGCGCTATATAAATCCTGTATTATAATAATAATATCAGTGCTCCTGACTGCACTGCATTTGAGTATAGAAAAGAATGTTATTGGTTGTGTTCATTTTGGTATTTCATACACTGTACATCCACTAGATGGCACCTTTTGCTCAGTTCTCGACATAACATGGTACATAATGCAGTTTGGTTCCACACAGTTTATTACCTGTCCTCCAAACTACACGCCTGACTTTTCTGTCACATCATTTTCCTTCTGGATCAGTCCTGACCCGGTATACTATAGGCTTTGATGCGCCACACATCATATTACTGATTATGGATAATAACTTGCTCAATTTTCAGGGGATAATACTCCAGGAAATTCATTTCTATTCTGAAGTTATACCACATTTTATAATCCATGGTTCCAAAGCACTAGCCCAATGTCAGAATCCAAGGGAGCATCTGTTGTTTTTCATAGGTCATTTAGAGTCTGGTCACACTGACACAACGTCAGATGTCAGGGGCGACCTGCAGGACACATGTCTATGAACTAGTGCATGCGCTAGTTTCAAAATCAGTGCAACTCCAACCAAGTCAGAATCACACCGATGTGACCGCTATAATTGCAGACTATAGGATGCGACTGGTCATGCAATTTGAAACACGCAAGGCATGGAATATTGATGCAAATGGCATCCGGTATGATCGGGATCTTAACCACTTCCAGTCCGGACACTTTCACCTCCTTCCTGTCCAGGCCAATTTTCAGCTTTCAGCGCTATCACACTGAATGACAATTGCGCGGTCATGCAACACTGTACCCATATGAATTTTTTAGCATTTTTTTGAGACAGATAAAAAAACTTTATTTTGGTGGTATTTATTCACCACTGGGATTTTAAGTTTTTTTGCTTTATAAATGAAAAATTCCAAACATTTTGAGTGTTTTTCTTATAAAATGTTGCAAATAAATAATCTTTCTTCATAAATCTTGGCCAAAATGTATTCAGTACAGGCTTAAAATGCGGGCGCCGTTTATGAACGGCAACCCGCTCCTGCACTGCTCCCGTCCGGCCCATGTATATAAAGGCGGGACGGGAGCAGTGCAAGAGCGGGTTGCCGTTCATAAAGTGGTTAATAAGCATAGCACAGACTTCTTAGATTGTAAGGAATTCACATCTCATTCCATCACATATTCCAAAATTAAAAGCGCATCCACATCATTTAGTCCCCTATGACCTGTATGGTTATATACTGTTAAGTCCCAAGAAGCCATGGTTTCCATACACTGCACTGATGATGGCTAAAAAGCCTGAAACAGCTGTATGCAGTTTGGATGGAATGGCTCTATAATATTCAGCTATATTTGTACTGTCCTGAAATAATCCTCTTACTTTGGGGATATGTTATGGAATGAGACATGAACACCATCTGTTTTAGGAAAGGCTTTAGTGATCCGGTTGGAGGGCCTTTTCAGTCCATTAATCCCTTCTCACCAGAACCTGAATGGGTGCGCGGTCTCCATTTACTGTTTACAGACTGAGCTGGAATACAAAACCCCCCTCTATGTCATCTAGTCACAGAACTATTTACCAGGACACATTCTCCTTCCTCGGGGTTCGGACATTTCACAGTAGAAAAATTTGGGTCGGGGTCCTTCTGCTCAGGGACGGGAATGGGGGGGTTAAAGCCAAACACTTTGAACGCAGACTGGACGTAGTCGTGACCGACCCCGTGAAATGAGGTGTGGACAAACTTCATTGAGGTCTTCTGGTTCAGCTCCCTGAAAGAGAAATACATGATAAATCTGGTAAAGGGAACATTTAAATCAGTCCAAGCACAAATCGATCAGCAGGGAATCAAAACTCTGATACATTATCTGGGCGAGGACCCCTGATAGAGAAGAGACGATCAATCTACCATACACACAGTACAGCTGGGAATCAAAACTGAGATACATTATCTGGGCGAGGACCCCTGAGAGAACAGACAATCAATCTACCATACACACACTACAGCTGGGAATCAAAACTCTGATACATTATCTGGGCGAGGACCCCTGATAGAGAAGAGATGATCGATCACCATACATACTACAGCAGGGAATCAAAACTCGATCTGGGCGAACCCCTGATAGAGAAGAGACGATCAATCTACCATCGATCCAAAAAACAATATTTTTGCTATCCTTTGGAGACAGCATTGGCCCCTAATGAGGACCCGAAGCTGAAAGCTGTGCCCAAAAAAGGCAAAAACAGTATGTCTTTTTCCCATCTTTTAATTACCATGCCTTAATATGCACTCTCTCTATATGGAGGTAGACATCTTGGTAGAGGCAGGGCTTTGATTCCTCATGCCTTCAGCAAGAACAATGAGCAGCACAGTAGTGGCATCACCAATGTGACTCCAGTCCAGCAGTGCCTTAAAGTGGTTTTAAAAGCTTAAATATTTTTTTACCTTCATGCATTTGGTGCATGAAGGTAAAAATGTTTGAGGACGTGTATCACCCCCTCACCCTCCTTATACTTACCTGAGCCCGATCTCCATTGAGTGCTGTGTTCTTCTATAATGGTTCTCTCCTCTTACTCCTGCTCTCACAGGTTTTGCTGAGAGCAACAGAATCTATTGGCTCCTGCTGCTGTCAGTCAAATCCTGTGGCAAGGGAGTGGATGGGGGGGCCGAGTCTCGCTGTCTGTGTTTATAGACATAGGCAGTGGGGCTCGGGATCAAGCCTGCAGTTGTGCCACCATAGGAAGCGGCTTCCTATGGTGGCACACCGAGCAGCAGAGGAGCCAGGAACACTGGCGGAGGACCCTAAAAGAGAAGGATCAGGTCTGCTCTGTGCAATACCATTGCACAGAACAAGTAAGGATATCATGTTTGCAATACATACAGGAGAGCCTAGCTACACTCACATACCAGTAAATACACTATTTTTCAGGACGATTCCAGAAAAAAAGATACATTATTCAGGTTACTGCTTGGAGACAATGAACATTTATAAATGCAAGCAAGGCTTTACTTTTTGGTTTAGTTCCTCTTTAAACTGCCCACAAATTTCTACATGAATTAAAGTGAACCTGTGGTTTGCTGATGTAAGGCTATGCAACTATTAGCAGCTCCAGCAGTTTGCTCCCCCACCACCACTGCTTACTTCATCCACCATTAGAGAAGACAAGTGCCCAGTACATCCAGGTATAGGGAGCATGTGGCTCGCTCTCCTCCCTCCTGCATGATATGATGGGGGTTGGAGTGAAATCAGTGCAGCATTTGGAGTCCAATGAGTGCAGTAGAAGGAGTGTGGTCACGCTTCTGTGTTTGACAATCTCTAAACTGCCAATGCAGTAGCACAAATCATTGTGAATGGTGGTACAAACATGGAGAGGCCAAAGCTCCCCTAAGGGAACACAGGCAGCAATAAAACCCAAAAGAAGAACTAACCCTCCTTTCCCACTCAATCCAAAGCTGAAAAAATGCCTTTGGATACTTGAAAAGAAACCCACCAAATGTGGTCCAAGGAAGGAAAACCAGCGAACTCATGATTGGGTCACGGGCGTCCAAGGCTCACTGATGCATGTGGCTGGCCTGTGTAGTCCAATGCAATAGGAGAGCTACCGGAGAGCAAATTGCTGAAAAAGTGAATGCTGGTTCTGATAGAAAGGTTTCAGAATACAGAGCATCACAGTTTGTTGTGTATGGGGCTGTGTAGCTGCAAATCATTCAGGATGCCCATGCTGACCCATGTCCACAGCCAAAAGTGCCTACAGTGGGCATGTGAGCATCAGAACTGGACCAGCGAGCAATGGAAGAAGGTGGCACCAGAATGCACTGTGGGAAGAATGAGCAGGCAGTGTGACCGAAGGGATCTGTTACTGACAGTCTGGTACCAGATAACACAGCATACCTTCAGAGGTCTAGTGGCACCCATGCGTTGGTCAGTCAGGCAGAAAAAAGCGGGGCCTACTCAATATTAGGTGTTTACAGTGGGTGGTGATGTTATGGCTGATCGGTGTATGTTTAAATCTGATCACCAACCTTCCCTTTAGTCTTACACAGTTGTACACAGCCTCCTCTTCTGTTCTGAAATGGCTTACTCTGATTTCACTGCACACTGTGAGCTTCTCATAATGTACATTAAAAGCTGCAGCGAGTCAGATACAGCCTGCCTCATTTTCTAACTGTAGGACGTCCAGCACCATCCAGGTCTTTCCTCCCCAGCCTGACTGTCCCTGTCCTGCACTTTCACAAATTAGTTTTCAGCTCTTTCAATCACAGAAGATTTGTATCACATGTGGGCATTATCACAGCTTCTTGTTTTCAGAAAAACTCTGGACAGCACCCTGCTGGCCTCTTTCACCAGCCATGATCTACCTGCATATCAATAATGAAATGGAGAAGATGCAGAGGGCCTTCAGCTAGATGGAATTCAGTAGCAGCCAGATACCATAGTCTGCTGTAAGCCATAAATCATTATGTGCAATTATCACAACGAAGAACCCACAAAAGTCAATAATGCAAATTTTATAACAAAGCAGAAAGAATATTCCTGACAGAGATCTCTAATGTGATTGCATCACATAGCAAATGCAGTGTGCAGCTTTATGGCTCAAAAAGATAAAACATTTAACTATACAAACCCTGCCGCTGACTACATACCTTGCACCATGTGCCGAGGTGAGTGCCCAAGCAGGATCCAGTGCCCAAAGCAACATTACAGGCCATCCTGAGGTTGCTCCGATCCGGATGCACTGCGTCTATTGTGGTAACAGAAACTGACTGAAGAATTCTAAGTAAAATAATAGACTAGTTAATCTAAAAGTGATTTCTCTGTAAGGGACAAGAGGGCCACCACCTGGGAGAAGGCGGCCCACCGCCTGGGAGAAGGCGGCCCACCGCCTGGGAGAAGGCGGCCCACCGCCTGGGGGAAGAGGGCCACCGCCTGGGGGAAGAGGGCCACCGCCTGGGGGAAGAGGGCCACCGCCTGGGGGAAGAGGGCCACCGCACCAGTAAAAGGCGCGGACTCTCAGAGTTGGATAGGATAATAGCGAGACGCCAAGGGGGCATGTCATTCAAAGCTTTGCCAATGTCCAGTCACCTGAAGGTACCAACCTATAACCCAGGGTCTGGGAATATCAAACCTGTGTCCTGTACTCTACGATTGAGAAAAAGTATTAAAAAGTTTACCAATGACCTAACAGGTGAAAAAAAACAACATCTCAAAGCCCAATACTGTATTTCAGGGGGCTCTGAAGGACAGTCTGCTGTTGGGGCTTTTTTTTGGCTGCCCAACCAGTTGAATATTGGTTATGCAGTAGAGGCCCATTCACACCTATGCGTTTTTAAAGAACAACTACCACAATTCACCAATTTCAAAATTGTTGTGGGATCCTTCAGGGGAAAGGGCCATGAAGCACTTGTTCCTGTTCTGATCCGTGCTGTAGTTGCTGAGAAAGAGCGTGGTCAATGTGTCGCCCCTCCCTCCACCACTGGTTGACCATACTGCTCAGAAGCAGAAAGATTTTTAAAGAGGTGTGAATGACAATACTGAAGAGGAGCACCATTATTAACCACAGCCTGTGAGCATAACTCTGCTATGTATCATGGAAAACCACATGCAGGATTTTTGGCGGCAGTAGACAGAATTAGAAGAGCAACGTTCTACAGAACACTGTACGGCTCTGCTAGTTCTGGCTAACCTGCCTACCCCATCTGATTGGCGTCACAACAGGCACATTCACAGAAGATTATTTCTGCACAATGAGGGGGCGGTGGATACAGTGCTGTGCCGAGGCTCCTCCATAAGAACACTCATAAATTGGGCCTCAGACTTAGACGCAGCTGTCAGCCAGCAAAAACAGAAAAAAAAGATGTCCTCTTACTGTACAGTCGGAACAGGACCATGTGCTCCATGCACATGGCCGCCTGGAGGATTCGGAAATCATGAGACGTCTTGAATGCATGTCAACACTACATCAGCCATTGTTTTAAATGGTGCTAGTTCACATAAGTATGATGTGTCTGTATTCTGGTGCATCATTGTGATATGGGGTATACTAATGAGAATGGCAGCGCATAAAAATTAAATGTTAATTCAGACTTGTACATTGTGCTACAAGGTGCGTTTTAATGTGGGTTACTACAATGCACTGTTATACAGCTGAATTCATTGTGAATGGCACCCTAACACACTGTGCAATAGTAGCCAACACAAATGCACGGCAGCATATCACATTGCACATGCTGTGCGTTGTGGTCTCCTGCTTCCTCAGAGAGGGGTCATGTGTGCATTATCGGTGCATTACTAGCCTCAACATAATAAATGGTCTGCTTTACTGCAAACACCTCAACTGGTCGCAGTAGTATAAACGGGCTCTAAAGCTTCAAAGAGCTGACTCCTGTGTAATGTCATCTCTTATTGCTGGTAGTCACAAGGTTAATGTTCGAACAATCTGTACAGAACAATGGAAAGACTGGAAGCCCCGGGATCGGTTGTCAGCAAGGCGCTGCTCTCTACCTGTCATTATGTACACTCATTATGTACAGATAGTGTTACCTGCAGCTCGATACCTCATATACCTGGGAGGATATAAAAGTAGACTAACGTTTCCAAACCCTCTCCTCCTATCATGGCATGCCATGCATTCATCATTGAAATAAGTACTGTATAGGCTACAAAATACCCAAACCTCCTTTTTTTCTTATAACAGTCTTGACAGTTACTAAGCATCTACACAGTCCAGAGCTGCATTATACTATATCTGAGGCTTGAGTTGGAGCAATTACTTCTCTACAATGTCATTTCGCCTTGATGAAGGAATCCACCGCTGTTCTGAAACGTTGCACTGAACTGTGACTTATGTAACGGTGCATTAATGAAAAAAAGAACTCTGCATGAGATGTGCTGGCAACATTTGTTTTTCTTGGGGATCACGGTGTCCTCCATTAGTTGCTACAGTACCCCAACATAAAAGTCCAATTCTGGTTGCAATGCAGATATCTCATGTACCCTACAGTAAAGACAATGAACTGCCCATGGCAGATCAGGGAGGGCAGTGCGAAGGTCCGTTTGTGTACATCTGAGGTCTGTAACTAGATTTACAAACAGAACGAGGAGGGTCAAGGTGAAAGGTAGGATACAGGGGCTTTGCACAGAGCTACATCTACTTTTGTTTTATTAAAGTCTTTCTTTCTACCTTTCCAATATGTAGCTAGCAGTTAACTTCTACAGGTGCACAAATATATACTGTCCTATGTACAGTGCTCAGCATAAATGAACTTTTGAAAAGTAAGATATCAATATCTCAACGAACAATTTCCAAAATTGTGACAAAACTGAGTTTTATAGAACATTTGTTTGGCTCATTACATGAAAGTAAGATTAATAATATAACTTGGATTACAAAATCTTCAGTTTTACTCAAATTAGTTGATGCACAAATGAATCCACCCCACAACAAGAACTACTTAATCTAGTACATTGTATGACCTCCATGATTTGTAAGGACAGCACTAAGTCTTCCAGGCATGGAATGAACAAGTTGGTGACATATTGCAACATTTATCTTTTTTTATTCTTCAAGAACAACCTCTTTTAGAGCCTGGATGCTGGATGGAGAGTGATGCTCAGCTTGTCTCTTCAGAATTTCCCATTGGTGTTCGATTGGGTTCAGACCAGGAGACATACTTTTCCACTGAAATACTTTCACCCGGTTCTTCTTCAGAAATGCAACATTGGCCTTAGATGTGTGTTTTGGATCATTGTCATGCTGGAAAAGTGCATGACAACCAAGGGCTCGGAGTGATGATTGCATCACTCTTTCAATATAGAGCAGTACATCTGTGAATTCATGACACCATCAATGAAATGCAGTTCCCCCAAACCAGTAGCAATCATGCAGCCGCACAGAAGGACACTGCCACCGCAATGTCTCACTGTAGGCACCATGCATTTTTCTTTGTACTCCTCACCTTTTCGACACCATACAGTTTTGAAGCCATCAGTTCTAAAAACATTTATCTTGCAGTAGTCGTCTTCTTTTTCAGCTTGGGCCCTGGTAAATCCTAGGCAGGCTTTTTTGTGCATGGGCTTTAAGAGAGGATTCCGTCGTGGAAGACACTGGCTCTGAGGGAAAAGTACAACCTCGAAACACGTCAGCCACCAGCTATCCAGAGGTCTACAGTCCCCCACCAGACCACCTTCAGGGGTTTTTGGACCACATTGCATCCTTTGTGACATTCTTTCTATTTGATTTTATTTCTCTTGGGAGTATTTTACTATTTATAGATAAATCTCATTTTTAAAGGTAATGCACTAGGCCCGTGCACCCTGTTTTTGTTTCCTACTTACACTATTTTGTGCATGGGCTTTAAGAGAAGATTCCTACGTGGAAGACACCCATGAATGCCATTCTTCTGCAGTGTACGCCATATTGTGCAACGGGAAACAATCACCCCAGTTTGGCTTTCTATTTCTTGCACTTGCAACCCTTCTCATCAGAAGATGCTTCTGTCGAAGTATTAACTTCGGTGGATGGCCTGGAAATCTCTGTGAGATGGTTGCAGTTCCACCTTTGTTAAATTTTTGTATCACGTTTGCTACAGTATTCTGTAGTAAAGCTTTGCTGATCTTCTTGTAGCCTTCACCCTTCTTGTGTAAAGAAATTATATTCTTTCTCAGGCCTTGTGACATTTCTCTTCCATGTGGTGCCATTGCTGACAGCATGAAATGGGAAGGGGTTTTCTTTGTTACGTAACGTCCTTTTATAATCAGCTGTCTGCTGGACTGCAGAATTTTGTCTAAAATTTACCTTTGTTCCTAAGACTTTCATAGGGGTGTATTTATTTTTGCAACATGGTCTTGAATGAACTTGTTAGGAAAAACACTGCAAATTAATAAATCTTGTTTGCAATCAATGGCCCGTATTTGTGGGATTATTTTGTAGTATAATGTCCCATAGAAAATGTTGATTCTGAAAGGAAAGTAAAGGTTTTCTGACAAATCTGTTGGCGTGCACTCATTTCTGCTGAGCACTGTATATGTAAGCAATGCTAAAAGCAGGATCACCCTCATCCCTTTTTTTGCCTCTCATTTTTATATTAAATTATACCCCGGCACCATTTTATTGTGGACAATCAAGGCGCACCATATTAAAGTGGTCCATGCTCTATCCTTTCAGAACATAGACTGAAAAAAAGAGTTTTAAATGGAACTTATAAATATTATTTAAATTGGGATGAATCACCATTGCACAGTACAGAAACTCAGATAACCAGAGCTGCCAAACAAATGAAAACTATATGAATGAAACTCATATCCTATCTTCCCCCTCCCATTACATAACATTAAAGGAATATAGCATTTAACCCTTGCAGTGGGGAACGGGGGGGGGGGGGGATTGCAAGGTCGCTTTTTTTCTTGTGTTCAGTCTGCCTTTAAAAAAAAAATGTACTTATGGAAGACCTTTCAGTGAGCTTTGGCATGAACATTTCACATAGCACAGGTATCATAAAAGCACCAAAACTGAAACAACATCCGGAGTCCCTCACCTGTACTCATTACATTATGAAATACCTGTGAAAACAGACGGCTCTCAAGTCCTCCATGTAACCCTTTGTGATCTCCTCCAGGGGATCTCTGTTTAGTGAGCTGGTATCAGCAAGGTTCTCACACACCAGGAATCATGCCAGGGTTCCGGATCTTCTTCCACACATTTCAGGATCTCTTTATCATGAGGAGAAGTGATCTGAGCCCCATTCTCCCAATACACCTGCATAGGGGGAGAAACAAGGGGCGTTGTACTAAACTGTAAATATGGAACAATCAGACATGTTTAAGGAGGAACTTTATAGCCCTTCTGCCACCTAATAGTGTTTCCACAAGCTGCCAGATTACATATTATGACAAACATGGCCGTGTCTAAAGCAGCATCTGTAATCCTACCAAGGACTCCATGTATTGTCTAACACAGGGGTCTCCAAATTACAGCCCAAGAGCCACGTTTGGCCAACTACAAAATTCTATCTGGCCCACAACTAGGGTCAGTGGCATATCCTCAATGTGTAGAGATTAAGGATTAGGGTCAGCAAAGGCTGCCTATGATCTCTGCTTCTGAGCAAAGAGGGAAAAATGATGGGGACCCTGATGTAAGATCCCCCTCTTACATCAGGGTCCCCATCATTTTTTCCCCTGTTTAACTCTGATGGGGACCCTGATGTAAGAAGAAGGGGGACACACAAACGCTGATGGGGACCCTGATGTAAGGGTGGGTGAGGGGGGCTCTGGTGGTGAGGATGAAATCTGATGGGGACCCTGATGTAAGTGGGGGGAAGGGAACTCTGATGGGGGCCCTGCAGTAAGCGGGAGGAACTCTGATGGGGACCCTGAAGTAAGCGGGTGGATGGGACACTCTGATGTGGGCCCTAATGTAAGCGGGGGGGTGGGGGGACTCTGATGTAAGAAGGGGGGGGGGGGGGGGACGATACACGCTGATGGGGACCCTGATGGTGAGAATGAAATCTGATGGGGACCCTGAAGTAAGCGGGGGGATGGGACACTCTGATGTGGGTCCTAATGTAAGCAGGGGGGACGCTGATGGGGACACTGAAGTAAGCGGGGGGAACTCTGATGGGAACCCTGAAGTAAGCGGGGGGGAACTCTGATGGGGACCCTGAAGTAAGCGGGGGGGAACTCTGATGGGGACCCTGAAGTAAGCGGGGGGGAACTCTGATGGGGACCCTGAAGTAAGCGGGGGGGAACTCTGATGGGGACCCTGAAGTAAGCGGGGGGGAACTCTGATGGGGACCCTGAAGTAAGCGGGGGGGAACTCTGATGGGGAACCTGAAGTAAGCGGGGGGGATGGGACACACTCTGATGTGGACCTAATGTAAGCGGGGGGGGGGGGGGGGGGGGGGGGGGGGGCAGGGGGGGGGGGGGGGGGGGGGACTCTGATGGGGACCCTGAAGTAGGGGAAAATCTCTGATGGGGACCCTGATGTAAGGAGTGCACTCTGATGGGGATTTTTTATTTTCAATACACAAATATTTGAAAGATATTCCATGTGGTCCTTGTACCAAAACGTTTGGAGACCCCTTGTCTAACACAAGCTTTATCCATCTCACAAGCGGTTTATTTATTTTTTAGCTACCCGGTTTACCAATCAAAGTCCATGTGCAATGCAGGCCTTCTAGGTTTAACATGCCCCCTTCCATCTCTAAGCTATGACGTGTGGATTAAGCTGCTTGCAGTACACCCTCTGAAAGCCACTATCCATCAACAGGGGGGTAAGCAGCGTAGTTTATGTACAGTAAGTTGGCTGGCTGCAATTGAGTAACCTGTGTCTACTGGCCAACTGTGGTTCATGGAATTGGACAGGCACATCCGTTGATACGGTGACAGCGCACCGTATCAACATTGTCACCCTTAAGTTGGCCGTAAACTATTAGATTTTTATTCAGCCTGCAGGCTAAGTGGAAAAAAAATTTAACGGATTTCCCCATCCACACTATATGGCACATATGGACAAATCCCCATGCTAAGCTATTGTGATGTGACAGTCACCAGAGGCAGCAGTCAGGATACCCAAACAAAGGCTGCATCTGACTGAATGCAGCTGCTGTTCCACTGACAGTTTTTTCTGTCTGGCTCCTTCAATTTTTCAGTTAAAGGATGTTGTAGGAGGAGGTGCCAACAAAGCCACCCACTAAGAAAATTTCAGCCGGTTCCTAGTAAATTGGCCCAAATTTGATCAGTGCATGGCTAGTTTTACTGCTGCTGTAGCTATTGGCAGTTGATTGCCTTATCAGAGGACAACCCTCCGCCCGACCCTTTAGATTGACAGAAACATCTGCTGGAGCTCAGGTAAATGCAAGAGCCCTATTCAGCCGCTCACACCCCCTCCAATGCCCTATTCAGTCGCTCACACCCCCTCCAATGCCCTATTCAGTCGCTCACACGCCCCCCCCAATACGGTCTAGCTGAATGACGGAGAAAGCGATTTATTATCCCAACCCACACTGAAAATACTTGTTTATCACTCTGATTAATGACGTCATCAAATCTCACTCCAGATTCCATGAGATCGGCAGGCAGAGGCAGCAGTGCCGTAGATGACCTGTAATTCGTTCTTCAGCTTATATTCGTACCTTGTACCCATTGTCCTCCTTGCGGTTATGTGATGCTGTGATCATTACACCAGCAATGGCTCCAAGTTTTTGAACGGCATACGGCTGAAAAGAGCAAAAATCCCAATTGTTTTTCAGAAATTACAGGCGCATCCTGATCTTTGGCTGACTAACAGAGTAACACCACATTCACAAAAACTATTACATGAAATCAACAACTTTGTAAGTGCAGAACAAAACAAACACAAACAAATTGTAATCTTCCAATTATCTTTCTTCTTCTGTAGAGAAATCACTACAATGCATCCTTATTCAGAGTAATATTCCACCATCAGCCAGCTGCTATGAAGGCATCCACAGATAATATCAAGCTGTAATCAATCCTCTTCCCCTAATGAACCTCCATGACTCCAATGCGTGAAAGGGGCAGGCCAGAAACCTGATGGAGAGGAAAGAGCTTATGAATAAGTCTGATGACGAAACGCGTCAAGGGCAGGGACGTCAGACGCACACGGGAACCGGAAGTGGAGTAGCGGCCATTTTGGAAAGTGGCATAATCACACCAAACATTTGTGGATGTTCTCTGGACGACACAGAGGTTTGAAATATGGATTTTAAGGCGTTTTTTAAAGGCTGTTATAATGTAAGCATATCAATAAAGTATACTTAAAGGTGTTTTAGCGGTATTACACTATTAATTCTTCATATATTGGCATTTTGGTGGAATATGGTTTGAGGAGGAATATGGAGTTTTCATGCGGATTAACCCAGATGATATCAAGGAAGTATGGCATCCTAAAAGACCTTTCCAGGAGGGCTATCTGTGGCTTCCAACGCACATTATGAGAAGCTCACAGTGTGCAGTGAAATCAGAGGAAGCCATTTCAGTCCATAGAGGAGCCGGTACAACTGTGCAAGGCTGGAGGTCAGATTTAACTTATTCTATTGGTATTATGGGGGAACCATTGCAGTTTCTCAGCCTGGCCTCAGAAAAGGAAAGGATCGAACACGTGCAGGTCAGAGGTTATTGGGTTGGAGGTTTTATTTCCTTGGAAAATGACTGAAGGGAAGGCTCGAGATCAGCTTTAAATGGTGGGTGTGGTCTGACTTAGGTAGGAGTGTCCAGTCTGGGTCTGGAATGCACAGACCCAAGGGGGCCCATTTGAAGAAACATGGGCACTTCCAAGGGCTACAAGGGCATGTGTTTCAGCAATACTGCTAGCATACTTTGCCCTGACCGGCTTACGATGTAGTTAAACTCATTCCACTCCCCCCCGCCCCATACATACACACTCATATTGGCCCCTCATTATGACACTTTAGTGGTCAAAGGGCAGCCTATCAAAAGTGATGAGCCCGTTATGAATAAATAACTTGAAGCCGAGCTGTGAGAATATAGAAACAACAATACTTACTTTACCCCTCAGTCCCACGACACGTGGCAGTGTGAGCAATCCTATCAGTGGCCACGTCCCATTCTGATGACACAATGGCTGGTCCTGCACTGTATGGGATGACGTTGGCGAGGCACAAGTCAACAAGACCAGCCAAAACACAGGTCAAAGACCAGAAAGAACAGCAGTTTTGGAGAACTGGTCACCACCACTAAAGGCAGGGAGGGTAATCATCACAGGACTGTGGTTTAAGGTGCAATTCTGGGTATACACCTAACTAACCTTAAAATTTTCCCCTCCCCCCAGCTAACACCTATACTAACTGACCTGTGTAAGAAAGATGTAAAAACTTACCTATTTTCAATCTGCTCTGGTCCAGTGGCGGCTGCAGGGGAGAGGAGGGAGCACTCCAACAACGCCTAGAAATGCTTGGAGTGGTGACAATAGCCCATTCATTCTTGGTGCTCCCTCCTCTCTCCTGAAGCCACGCTGGCTGATGCAGGGAAACCAGACCTTGTGACCATACCAGAGAGGCCTGAAAATAGGCAAGCATATACAGTACATCTTTCTTAGTTCCCATAGATGTTTATCATAGGTGTTAGGAGGGGGAAAGGGGCAGTTAGGTGTGTAACCGGAATTCCACTTTAAGATATGCATTACTCCTTGCTGTGCCATCACCTACATAAAAGAAGCACTAGATCCTTTATCCCCTGGTAGGGAGGAAGACACTTTTTTTCATTCAATACCTGCTTGGAGTTACACTTTAACCAAAGAGTTTTTATATTGGCCTACATCCTTGCTTTAAGTATATGGGATGAATTCAATAGGCCAAGAAAAAAACCTTCAACATAAAAATCACTACTGCAAATTAAATGTACTAAACCTACAGCTTAAAATACCAATACAAATAGCAATTAAAGAGAGAAATGACAGATTCAGGATCTTACCACAAAAGGAGTCGGGACGTATCTAGAGAAAAGGTAGACCTGTACACCTCGGCTGAGAAAGACGGCAGCTGTCAGCTTAGCCAACCTGAAATGAGACAAGAAATCAGGGCGCCTCAGTCAGGTGATATGACAACACACATGAGAATTACATGACATCTATGTTCATACTAATGGGATTTTATATCCTAGAAAGCCCATGACTTCTGTCCATCACAAGCAAAGGAGCAGTGAAGTGCCGAACTGCAGAATTGCCGTTTGTAGCAGTCTGGATGTACTTTCCATAGATACAAGGACAGAATCCTAGGAGGATGTCTTTCCACATCACAGTACTGCGCTTAAAGAGAACCTGTACTGTGGAAGCTGTGCCAACAAAGGCAAGTGGAGGGCAAAGGACTAGTCACCAGCATAGGTATCTCTGCAGCCGACCGTGGGCCTCCTCAGCCGACCGTGGGCCTCCCTGCAGCCGACCGTGGGCCTCCCTGCAGCCGACCGTGGGCCTCCCTGCAGCCGACCGTGGGCCTCCCTGCAGCCGACCGTGGGCCTCCCTGCAGCCGACCGTGGGCCTCCCTGCAGCCGACCGTGGGCCTCCCTGCAGCCGACCGTGGGCCTCCCTGCAGCCGACCGTGGGCCTCCCTGCAGCCGACCGTGGGCCTCCCTGCAGCCGACCGTGGGCCTCCCTGCAGCTGATTACTGATAGCGGACACAGGTCACTCTGGAGGAGGGTATAATACCTATTCTATTACAGAATTACAGAACAGATCTGTGGAATTTTGGGAGCCAGGAACAAATTGTATGTAAAAAGGCCCTATTGTGCTTCACTTTGCATCTATACACAAAATGACAAAGACATACAAATGTTATCTTCCTGACACACAAGTGCTAAGTTGTTGTAAAATCAGCTCTGGGGAGTTTCTAAGGAACCCACACACTTGGTTTGTAGATAAGAGGACTTCAGATGGAAATCTTGTGAAACATCAGCAAACTCTGATCACAGCTTCTGTAGCAGAGAGAACCATTTCTATGAAGATCTAGCCCTAGGTATAATTTCAATCCCTTCACAGGTCACAGAGTAGAGGGTTTTTTTTTGAAGTCTACATTCAGATTTAAAGTCTCAATAAAATAAATATTGGTGCAGCAGCGCTAGAAATATATGGAAATGACCAATTTCAGTCACATAAACGCATGTATGTGATGAATGCGTTTTGCTTATGCCATGTAATAAAACAGCAATTGTGGTCTAAAAATGAATGAATAAATAAAGGTATAGGTGTCTATAGGAAAAGCATAATTGTGACATGCGTGGTGATTGTATAATGTCCAAAAATTCTTTAAATCTGGTGTGATCTCCAAATGACTTCAGTAAAGTCCCAGAATACTTTTTCTCCTTAGGTGGGTGTACTAATCAACATACAGAATGCGCACTCACCAGATGCGCTAATAAAAAGCATGTTGTATCATGTACTCCTGGTCATTCACAGGTCCCTCAGGTGTAGTCAGGGATGTAGCCTGGGGGTAGATGGTCTCCCTTTGGGTGCTAGGTTGTGATGGCCCGTACTGATAGCTCAACCTTTTCAGGATGCTGGGACATTCACTGGAGATGGTGCTAGGGAATTTAAGGTGCTTCTTTGTTATTGGATGTCTGCAGACATAATGCCACAGCTTCTACTGCTTGGGGGGCTTGTGAATATGAGACCTTCATACTCTTCTGGGTGAGAGAGCTTGTCGAAGAGCTGCTCCAGTGACACAAATTTAAAGGCTAACACAGGGATTAGTGTTGCTTGCAGTCCATGGGATGACAACTCCTCGACGTAGAGGTTCTGAACCTTGGTCACCAGATTTCGGCTCTTTCAGTAACAGAACATTCATTGTACTGGAGGAGTCCACACATGACCCGGCCTCTGTATGTCTTTGGACTCCTCCAATACAATGAATGTTCTGTTATGATAAAATTTGTAACACAAAATCAAATTATTTAATAATCACAAAAAATACCATAATAATAAATTTAATTCAATAATATAATCAAACCAAAAACACTGAAATTTGAAATATAGCGCCAAGTTCGCACATCGCTGAGCAAAGTCGCAAAATCGTTTTCAGTGTCTGATGAGGAATTTCCCCCACGAATCATTATCACTCAATTCTGCAAGTGGTTCTGATTTACTATCACTGTTCTCTAGCCGGTCTAAAACCGCTTTTGTCCTAAAGGGACGCTTTTTGGACGCCATGGACGTTTCTCAGTTTCCAGGCAGAAAGAACAGTAAAAATGCAGGCAGGGCGCAGGACAAAGCACTCGGGACAAAATGTATGTGAAATGGTTTGATACAGGAATGTTATACTATGTGATTTTAGTGTATTAGTGAATGTCAGTTTTACAACTTTCAAATTTCCCGCCAGTTCCGACCCCCGTACGTCCCGACATCGCAGGGGACGGAACCCAGAAGACAGATGCCGGCATCGGCCGGAGGAGAGGGCCGAGGGACACTGCAGGAGGGACATCGCAGGAGCGCATGACAAGGTAAGTGCAGAAGAGATCCCGGAGCAACACTGCAGAGTATTCCTGAGTGTAGCTCGGGATTACCACTTCTGGTGCTGAAACTTTACCCCGAGCTACACTCGGGAATACCGCCAGGGAGGTTAATGTACATGCAAACCCTAAAACTATTTTATCCCCGGTTCACATATATGCGGCTGTGCAGGCACGAGAGCCCATTCATTTGAATGGACTCCGGTGCCCCATAACACACAGGGAAGAAGTCTCTGCACTTCTTCTGAAAAACGCAGCCCGCACAGGAACCTCGGTTCCCAGTACGGCTGCGTTTTCCAGTGCAGGTGGTGTGCCATTAGAAGTAATGGCACCGGCCCGCGGGTCGGCATTTCTCTGTGCTGGTGGTGCAGCTGCACAGATTTTCATGCAGATCCGCAGCCGCATCACCCGCACAGATGTGAACCTAGGCCTTAGTGTGTATGACATAACAACCTCACTGTATACAGTGTTCTTACACAAGTGCATTGTTGTTAATCTGTTGTAAAGTTTCTTGCAGAGTTCATAAGGCAGGCTGACAACATTGCTGATAAGAATGTGGTTTTAGTGTTGTCACCCTGCAAAAGGAAGTCTTGTCACTGGCAGGATATCCTGGTAGGAAACTACAACAGATTGACATATAAACATTTGCTGAAAACGGTAGTAAACAAACTTGTACCTACACGTGAGCTTATTTATTTCAGGTACTTATATAGCGTCATCAATTTACACAGCGCTTTACATATATATTGTACATTCACATCAGTCCCTAACCCTCAAGGGGTTTACAATCTAAGGTCCCTAACTCACATTCATACATACACATACTAGGGACAATTTAGACAGGAGCCAATTCACCTACCAGCATGTCTTTGGAGTGTGGGAGGAAACTGGAGTACCCAGAGGAAACCTACGCAGGGCACAGGGAGAACTCCAGGCAGGTGGTGCCGTGGTTGGGATTCGAACCAACAACCCGAGTACTGCCAGTGGAAGTGCTAACCATATAGCCCCTGTGTTGCCCATAGCTTCCAATAAGTCTTCCCTGTAGGTACAAGGAATATCCAATAAATGTGCACGGTTTAGGAGATATTTACTATCACTGCAGCTGGTGATGTCACCGGGGCATGTATACCTCTGAAGGAAGGGAAATGTTGTGTGCATGTGAGGAATGACATCACTGTGGCTCGGCCATTCAAATGGTCAGAGCCCGTGAACCCAGAAGGAGGGTTGGGTGAAGGACAACCTATTAGCAGTGTTGAAGGGCTTCATTTACAGTTACGTCTCTCATAATGTGCTAGTATGCAATGCATGAAGGTCAAAAATCCTTCCAGCTACCCCCTCAGTCCCCCTAATACTTACCTGAGCCTTATCTTGATCCAATGATGTGCACAAGAGCCTTGGCTCCCCCTCTCCCTATTGGCTCCCGCTGCTATCAATCACAGCAGCTGAGGAGGGAAGGGGGACGGGGGGCTAACTTTAGCCTTTAAAGTGGTTCTGAAGGCTGACGGGTTTTACCTTCAAACATTCTATGTCTTATGGACATACAAGGCCAGCTCAGGAGTGAGCTTGCATGAGTTGCTGGCTGTGGGGGGCACTACACAGCTCCCCCCTGCCAATGCCCCCAGACCAAGCAATTCATGTGTGCTCGCTCCCGAGCCGGCCTTGAATATGTATAAGACATAGAACGCTTGAGGCTAAAGCTAGCCATAGATGGACTGAAATGTGGCCAGAGACCCGGTCAAATTTCAATCCATGCCTGACAACTCCCTCCAGACAGAAGTCAATCTAACGATCAACTTTTGTCAAACAAGCTTGCTGGAAATGTTTCTAAATCATGGCATTCTAACAGCGGAATAAAAATCATTGAGCACCTTTGTTAAATGTCATAAATGACATACATATAGGCTGCACGTGGCATCTCCCAAGCATCGCCAAAAACTGAGCGAACCTCCCTTGTCTACCTAGATGCCAGGATGTGTCATATGTTGGGCACGCACCCAAACTCCATAGGATGAGCACTCCGATGGGTCTAAAACCCACGCATGCACAGCATGTCTTCGTTCCCTCTGTTAGCCGCAGCTAAGTTCAGCAATGTGCAACTATGTGGCAAATGAGGTTTAATGTTGATAAATGTAAGGTTCTGCACTTGAGGGTTAAGGATATGCATGCATCATACATACTAGGGGGGGGGGGGGTACAACTGGGGGAATCATTGGTGGAGAAGGATCTGGGAGTTCTGGTAGATCACAAGCTTAATAATGGCATGCAATGCCAAGCTGTGGGATCTAAAGTGAGCAAAATCCTCTCTTGTATTAAAAAAGGTATAGACTCCAGAGAGAGAGAGATATCATTATTACCCCGTACAAATCATTAGTAAGACCTCATCTGGAATATGCAGTTCAGTTTTGGGCTCCAATTCACAAAAAGAACATTGGAGAACTGGAGAAAGTACAGAGAAGGGCAACTAAACTGATAAGAGGCATGGAGGAGATCAGCTATGAGGAAACATTAGAGGAACTGAATTTATTCTCTCTTGAGAAGAGGAGATTAAGGGGGGATATGATCTCCACATGTATAATACATAAGGGGGGATATGATCACACCATGTATAAATACAAAAGGGGGGATATGATCACCATGTATAATACATAAGGGGGGATATGATCACCATGTATAATACATAAGGGGGGATATGATCTCCATGTATAATACATAAGGGGGGATATGATCTCCATGTATAATACATAAGGGGGATATGATCTCCATGTATAATACATAAGGGGGGATATGATCTCCATGTATAATACATAAGGGGGGATATGATCACCATGTATAATACAGAAGGGGGGGGATATGATCTCCATGTATAATACATAAGGGGGAGGGGGATATGATCTCCATGTATAATACATAACGGGGGATCTGATCTCCATGTATAATATATAAGGGGGGATATGATCTCCATGTATAATACATAAGGGGGATATGATCTCCATGTATAATACATAAGGGGGGATATGATCTCCATGTATAATACAGAAGGGGGATATGATCTCCATGTATAATACATAAGGGGGGATATGATCTCCATGTATAATACATAAGGGGGGATATGATCTCCATGTATAATACATAAGGGGGGATATGATCTCCATGTATAATACATAAGGGGGGGGGATATGATCTCCATGTATAATACATAAGGGGGGATATGATCTCCATGTATAATACATAAGGGGGGATATGATCTCCATGTATAATAAATATAGGGGGGATGTGATCTCCATGTATAATACATAAGGGGGGATATGATCTCCATGTATAATACATAAGGGGTGATGTGATCACCATGTATAATACATAAGGGGGGATATGATCTCCATGTATAATACATAAGGGGGGATATGATCTCCATGTATAATACATAAGGGGGGATATGATCTCCATGTATAATACATAAGGGGGGATATGATCTCCATGTATAATACATAAGGGGGATATGATCTCCATGTATAAATACATAAGGGGGGATATGATCACCATGTAAATTACATAAGGGGGGATATGATCACCATGTATAATACATAAGGGGGGGATATGATCTCCATGTATAATACATAAGGGGGGATATGATCACCATGTATAATACATAAGGGGGGTATGATCTCCATGTATAATACATAAGGGGGATATGATCTCCATGAATAATACATAAGGGGGGATATGATCTCCATGTATAATACATAAGGGGGGATATGATATCCATGTATAATACATAAGGGGGGATATGATCTCCATGTATAATACATAAGGGGGGGGATGTGATCACCATGTATAATACATAAGGGGGGGGATATGATCACCAATGTACCATGTATAATACATAAGGGGGGGGGGATATGATCTCAATGTATAATACATCAGTGGTTCATATAGTGAACTCGGTGTAGAGTTATTCACCCTGAGGTCATCACAGAGGACAAGGGGGCGCTCTTTACGTCTGGAGGAAAAGGAGGAGGGGGGGGGAAGGTTTCTTCCCAGTGAGAGCTGTGAGAATGTGGAATAGACTCCCTCAAGAGTTGGTTCTGGCACGCTCAGTGGATTGCTTTAAAAAAGACCTGGATTCTTTCTTGGATACATAGAATATATAACTGGATATAACATTTATAGGTAAGGTTGATCCAGGGAATATCCGATTGCCTCTCGGGGGATCAGGAAGGAATTTTTTTCCCTGCGGGAGCAAACTGATTTGTGCTTTGCTGGGTTTTTTTGCCTTCCTATGAATCAACTGTGGGTACAGGATTGTAACTTTTTTTTTTTTTTTTTTTTTTTTTAATGGTTGAACTGGATGGACTTTTTTCAGCCAGACTAACTATGTAACAATGACAGATGGAACGAGAGCAAGCTGCACATGCGTGGGTTCCGAACCCAGCAGAGTGTTCTTGCCTGAGATGCTGGCAGCATAGGCAGATTTTTGGTAATGGAACTAACCCAAATTCCTCCTTTATTAACATGTCCCTATGATACAATGGGAGAATGATTACAGGTGATGGGAGGTACAGAACAATAGTCATTTAAGAGTAATAATGTCAGGATGAACTTCCTGGAGGAGCCTCAAATTCTATAGAAACATGGGTGTGAGGCCATCACTCCGCACACAGCCCTAAGGGGTGCATACCTGGTGACACAGAACATTGTGTAACATGCAGTGACTCAGGAGCTTCACAAACTGGCATTGTCATCCGAATTATGTAAAGGAGAGACTGAACCCAGCAACTTTTTTTAAAGTATACTCTATATTGCCAAGAGTATTGGTCGGCCGGCCTTTCCACGCACATGAACTTTAATGGCCCCCCAGTCTTAGTCTGTAGGGTTCAATATTGAGTTGGCCCCGCCCTTTGCAGCTATAACAGCTTCAACTCTTCTGGGAAGGCCGTCCACAAGGTTTAGGAGGGTGTCTATGGGAAGGTTGGACCATTCTTCCAGAAGTGTATTTGTGAGGTCAGGCACTGATGTCGGGGGAGGAGGCCTGGATCACAGTCTCCGCTCTAATTCATCCCAAAGGTGTTCTATGGGGTTGAGGTCAGGACTCTGTGCAGGTCAGTCAAGTTCCTCCACCCCAAACTGGCTCCTCCATGTCTTTATGGACCTTGCTTTGTGCACTGGTGTGCAGCCATGTTGGAACAGGAAGGGGCCATCCCCAAACTCTTCCCACAACGTTGGGAGCATGAAATTGTCCAAAATGTCTTGGTATGATGACGCCTTAAGAGTTCCCTTCACTGGAACTAGGGGGCCAAGCCCAACCCCTGAAAAACAGCCCCACACCACAATCCCCCCTGCACCTAACTTTACACTTGGCACAATGCAGTCAGACAAGTACCATTCTCCTGGCAACCACCAAAGCCAGACACATCCATTGGATTGCCAGACAGAGAAGTGTAATTGGTCACTCCAGAGTGCAAGCGTACAATCCCAACGCACATGTTCCTGCTGGGGGCTGCAGCGACCGTCGGCTGGAACCGAACAGAATCAGCAAGGGAGAATGTCACCAGCAGACCGAGGATCACCAATATGGGTCCAAAAGTTTTAATGAATGATCACATAATTACAGAAAGGCAACATTTCGGAGTCTTGCAGGACCCCCTTCATCAGGCATGTGACGTGCTGTAACTATGTGATTGTTCATTAAAACTTTTGGACCCATATTGATGATCCTCAGTGTGCTGGTGACATTCTCCCTTGGTCAATCCAGAGAACACATCTTCACTGCTCTAGAGTCCAGTGGTGGCGTTCTTTACACAACAGCATTTGACGCTTTGCATTGCACTTGGTGATGTAAGGCTTGGATGCAGCTGCTCAGCCATGGAAACCCATTCTATGAAGCTCTCTATGCACTGTTGCTGTGCTAATCTGAAGGCCACACCAAGTTTGGAGGCCTTGAGTTATTGAATCTGCAGACAGTTGGTGACTTCTGCACACTGTGCACTCCAGCATGCGCTGACCCCGCTCTGTCATGTGACGTGGCCTACCACTTGGTGGCTGAGTTGCTGTTGTTCCCAGTTGCTTCCACTTTGTTATAATCCCACTAACAGTTGAGTGTGGAATATTTAGTAGCCAGGAAATGTCACGGATGGACATATTGCACAGGTGGCCACCTATCACGGGACCACGCTTGGAGTCACTGAGCTCCTGAGAGCGACCCATTCTTTCACCAATGTTTGTAGAAGCAGTCTGCATGCCTAGGGGCTGATTGTATACACCTGTGTCCATGGAGGTGATTGGAACACCTGAACCCAAAGATTTGGGGGGGGGGGGCAATACTTTTTGCAATATAGTATGTAAATCCAATCACTAAAATCTCATATAATCTTTAACATTTAAATATTTCAAACGTCATTTGCAATCTTTTTAAATCTGCAAATTTCACGCAAATTTTTCACTGATCTCCCCATGAAGGGCCATGGTTAGGCCCTTGTTATACAGTGACAAAGCTATTAATGATCCTCCATAGTCTCCTAAAGAAATCCACAAAACACATCAAGAACAGTATGGTCACTGTCTGATAGCAAGAACCTTGAGCTACACACAATATTGTTTAAAAGACACTGAGCCGTTGTCATAGACAACCACCACATCATACTGCAAGCACCTGTGTAAATGGGCTTCGGGACCTGTCAATCAGCTTGAGAAGCTTCTGAAATCATTCAGAATTCAATGACAGGTGTATGTAGCCTGCAGTTATACTCCTGACCTGCATTGTACCTGCTTCTGGTAGTTTTTGCAATCCTGGTCATGATTTGGTATGGTAAGGAAAAAAACCCTTTTAAAGTGAATAAAACGCATCAACACAGACCCTAAGAGAAGTAATAAGACCGAGCTGGTGGAGGATTGTAGGCCTGACACTTACCTCTCGCTGGTGCAATTACTTGCAGCATGCCCGCGTGTATCGTACCCCACCACAATGCCCCGATTCGGGAGATCAGGGAAACATCTCTGCAGATAGTGGTACATCCCCTGTAGAGAAAACACAGCACAGATGGTTACAATAAACATTGGTGCTGGACTTCAAGGGAAGATAAAGAGCAAACGCCTTTCTACAGCATGTCTGTGAAGGTTCTCATGTATCCAGGTCATGATATATCTACAGTATTTAGTCACTTTTAACTGGACCTGTTCTGTGTGACACATTTTACTGATTCTCCAACGTCACCCTTTCCCCCGCTCCCACTTTTTCCCTCTGCTTACTTTTTGCTGTCTTCTGCACATCAAGGATACCTACCTAGCCAGGGAATCCAGCACTGAGCTGCTGGGATCCTCTTCTCTGCAGCCACTGCACCGGTCTGGCACTGCCATATTGCCCATGACAGCCGCTGGCTCTTCCAGGTGCAAGCTCTGCTAGGCCCGACTCCCCCCTTCCCCTCCTTACGATGGCTGGCCATACATTATACAATTTTCTTGAAAATTTTGCTTTAGATTTAGCAAAAACCATATAATAGAAGGTCAAACCTAAACGAGACTTTCAATTTTGTCCAGTTAGGCAGGCCCTTGCACTACATAGTTGAAGGTAACTCTAAAGGAAATTGGGCAGAAATTGTAAGAAAATTGTATAGTGTATGACCAGACTAAATGGGACTGCACGTCATGCATCCCAGGAGGCACCAGGGGAACTGAGTCATTGGCCTAGGCCAGGGGTGCTCAGACTTTTGAAGAGCCACTTAAGTGATCCAGTAACTGAACACGGGCCACAAAAAAAATTAAATGGTTCAGAATTTTCCTCCTACAGCCACTGAATGCCGGCAGTAGGGAGAGGAGGAGAAGCTGGCTTTCAGCGGTTGCAGGAAGAAAATGGAGAGGAATGGTTCCTGTATATGCCACCCCTGATGCCCTTCCTGACGAAGTATAAATCAGAATGCGTCAGAGAGGCCACACAGGCCCCATGGAGCATGGGGGCGGTGTCGCCATTGCAACCCCTGATGCTACGCAGTGGTTGGGGGATGTGGTAAAAAGTCTCCACTATACGGTCCCCACCCCCCCCAAAAATAAAACAAGCACTTACTGTCCTGAGCCCCCTATAAGGCTGCTTTCACACTGATGTGCAGTGGTTTACCAGCACAGTGAAAGCAGCACAGTGCTTCTGCGGCTTTCCTGCGGGCTCGCTACACTTTGCCATAGATTTTTATCGATTTCTATTATATATTGCGGGTGTAGTGCACTTTCTGAAAGCGCACCAAACCCACAGGATACAATAGAAAGGCAGGAAAGCCGCAGGTACACTATACTGCACCCGCGGATCAGTCTGAAAGCAGACTAATAGTTAACCCTTTTATAGGTGCTAATATGCCCATTGGAAAAGTGCAGTTTATGTAATAATTTTAATAAAGGTCTGCTGGCCTTGCTCTCCAGGCTAATAGAAAGGTCCCAGGTGAAGGGCACTTGGTATCACCCTGCCTAGGACAGGAGCTGGCACTACAGAGGAAGCATTGGCTTATGCAGCTCCTGCTCTCTCCACAGCCGCCTGCTTCCTCTGCTGCCGGCACCGGCTCGGTGCACTTTGATGCCTTGGGATGGCGTGTCAGCAACCCCAGACCCAACTGGGTATGCTCCTTCCTGGTTTGTAGTCTAGAGCCAGAGCAGAGGGCTGCAAGGGCCACAGGTCAAGCACCTTGGCCTGGGTCAATTCTGAAAGTTGAGGGGCCGAGTCGAGTCTGTCAAGCAAGGCAAAAAAAAAAAAAACCCAAACACAATATTGGTGCTGCAGAGGTGGAAGAGATGGAGAGGAGGAGAGGGCTGCGGGAGGGTGAAGGTCCACTTTCAGTTCTAATGAGCATTTATATCCATATAGGTAACAGAACTACAACTACCAGGGTCTGTTCATGACACCAATCAGATCTAAACAAGCTGCGTGAATAAGCAGTGAAATGTCTACCAATCCAGAACAAATCCCACATAAATGTGACTGACCACTATCAGCTATACAAAGGCACAAGGCAGTTCATTTAGAAAAGTCAATATTCACTCTGCAAAGTAAATGTTGGTGAATAAGGAGAAGCCAAGTTCACTTTGAATACTCAACCATGTACTAGCATGTTTTAAAAATACTTTTCCGTTTTCATTACATAACTCCTTGTAGACCCATAGACCTCATCAATGCTTCTCTATGCAATGCAGGCAGATCACGGCTGGTGGGAGGGGCTGGCAGGGTGCTGTACATAGCTTCCTGAAAACATCACAGCAGTCTGCCTCAGCCCTGATCACACAATGGGGCCAGATCTAAGAAGTGTTGCGCATTAATGTGTGTTGCATTCACACTGGAACATGGGTGGTCCTATGCGGTCCCTTGCATTCCGGTTTTTAAAGCCTATTTGCTGCCCAATGTGATGGAACCTGCAAAAAGTATTGCAAGCGCTACTTCTGCAAATCGCAGCACACCAAACCACATAGTACACGTATGATGGACCAGAAAACGCACCTGCACAACTTTTCCCTGGTGGTGTAGTACTCTGCAATGTAAGTTAATGGACGATGCAGCTCTGTAATGCACGGAACTGCAATTTATATTGAATGGAACCTCCTGCATGGTGTGCTACTGTGCACAGGTATGAAGCCAGCCTATGGGGTAGGGTATTTGTTCCTTGTCCTTGTCCTATAAACAATCCGTTTGTAGTTCTGGACTTTTCCTCATTCTTTCCTCATTTGGTCTGTGGCTATAGAATGCTACCTGTGTGATCGGTTTTATTTTACATTCACTAAAACATAACATTTGCAGCACAGAGCCGACAGGAGCCAGATATTCAAAAGTGAATAATCTTTGCACAAATCATAATGAGAATTCCATCTTACTGCCCGGAGCGAGACAGATGGAAAGAAACAAGTTAAACAGAAATATAGACCAGTTATATCCAGAGATATTACAGATGACCGCAGGTGACAACAGAGAAATGCCGTCTCTACTCTGTTCTACTCCAGCTCATCTGTACCGGTAAGAGCAAACTGGATGTGATATAAAGCAGAACCTACAGACAGTAAGTGGCCTTTCTTGGGAAAGTCCTGTAAGGCAACACAACCTCTTGCTGGGTCATTGAGGCACCCAAAGTACATTGGGGGATGTGGAGGCAAGCTTTAGTGCCAAGTTAGTCAATATTGTTTTCTTGTGAACACCTGGGGTTTGGGGTGACCTTGGTCAGTGTTCCTCAACCACCAAGCAGGGTCGTGCCCTTCCTTCTCCCAGACCTACAACTAGCTCCTAACCTCCCATAGTGCCCACAGTGCCTCCAAGGTCTTCTAAGAGCCCTCAGACTCCACAGTGCCCTCCAACCACCTGTGCGCTGGTTGTGGTTTGTTTTTCCATAAAGAAACCTACAGGGTCACCAAATCTGCTACAGAATCCCCTAACCCCCTCCAGAACCTTCATCCCCCAACAGTGACACTCAGCCTTATCCAAAGGCTTCCAGAATTCCAATACATATTTTGCATCATCATACTTTTATTCCCTATAAACTTCCCTACTGTTGGGGAACAGAAGGTTCTGAAAGCATTTATCAGGCACTAGCTCAAAGAAGGTTGAGACTCACTGACTTGGAGGACAATGGAGCAGAAGTCTGACAAGGCTGAGGGTGCCAACGATGAAATATTCATTTATACAGCTTTTTATAGCAACAGGTTCTCTTAACATGGAAGCTAGATTGTGCAAACACGACAACCAACATACAGTTGTTTATGAAGGAAGTGTGCATGAACCCACACGTCTGGATTTTGTCTGCCCAGGCCCACTAATTATTATATGAGGTGCAATTATGGAGTGTAGAGAGACAAGCACATAACTAAACTTTAATTTAAAAAATTAGCTTTTGGGAAACCAGACAAAAAAAATTAAAAATGTACACTCATTGACTATGGTCTTTTTTTTTTTTTCTTTAGAAGGAACATTTTGGGGGTTCTCTTGACCCAAAAGCTTGATTCTTACAGTAGACACCTTTAGGTTTCTGATTGCATCCTATGATTGTTTTCACTGTATCCCATGATCCCCAAAAATACAGCGCATAGATATCAAACACGGTCCTATGACCACCTCCTGCCACCCTCCGTGACCTCCAACTGGCCACTTGGAGGTACCAGTGAGGATCGGCTGCTGTAAGAGGTAAGAATTACCATGTATCCCTGCATAGTAGATATAAACCCAACCACCATAATTAAGTGTTCTTGAATGGCAAGACCACTTACTGTTATCTCACATATATTTTTATTATTATAGCTAATTTTACCACCCTAACTCCTCCCACAGTTTTTACACTACATAGACAGTAATATACGGAAACGTGCGGATTGTTCCCGATTGGTGTGCTATTACTTTGTGGAATATTTCACCGAATGGTTCACGAAATATCGGCGTTTTTGTGGTGAAATTGGTCCCAAAGGAATGAATGGCGGAATGTTCAAAACTAGAGTGAGAGCTGAAAAAGCTCAGAAAAATCAGAACATGATTTCTAAACTGCCATCACGCCCTCATTTTCAAGCCCACCTACACAAATCTTATATCAAAACTTATATTAAATTTGTTCGGCTATCCCTGCTGTCACTTTAAAAAAAGTCCTTCACGAGCCTTTAATTAGTGCAGAACAGTCCTGGAGTCTGCTGGGGAAGAGAAATAATTTCACAATATGACCATTTGCAATGAGTGCCGTCGATCTTAGAATCACCGCAACTCACTCATTTTGCAGTCACGGGGCACACGACGAAGAAGAAGAAGAATAAGAATGAAAAGAAGAAGAAGAATGAAAAGAAGAAGAAGAAGAAGAATGAAAAGAATTCAAGAAGAATGAAAAAAAGAAGAGGAATGAAAAGAAGAAGAAGAAGCCTTGAAAAGAAGAAGAAGAAGAAGAATGAAAAAAGAAGAAGAATGAAAAGAAGAAGCAGAAGAATGAAAAGAAGAAGAAGAAAAAGAAGAATGAAAAGAAGAAGAATGAAAAGAAGAAGAAGAATGAAAAGAAGAAGAAGAAGAATGAAAAGATGAAAAGAAGA